TGCTTGGCTCCACGGTGGCCTTCCGCTGGCTGCACCTGAGGTCTGGCATAGTTTTTATACAGGTAAACTATTCCCTCAAGTTGAACAACATCTAACTCTGCAGCTGTGAGTTTGACTGGTATCTTTGCGAGCTGAATCCTAGACAGACATGGCCACCATTTTAGAATGCAATACACAGTGGGAAGAATAATAAGCCTTCATCTACATCGTCATCATCTGGACTGATGGTGTAATATGTTCAAAATTGTGGTGTGAATTCTAATTTCCTTTTGTTAGTTGACTCTGTTTGCTGAGAATTACTCTAAGACCTTAGAAGCATAGTTTGTGTAGTCATAATTCTTAGTTCTTTTAAAGGGGCAAACAACTGTCCTAGTGAGGAGAGGGGCTTCTTAAAGTAAAGATCTAATGAACGAACGTGTGTGAATCATCTTTATTTTGGGAGAAGTGCTCTTTCTGTAAGTAGAGTGTAGTGCAAGTCTGGGGTGGTGCAGCTGGCTTGAGGTAGTTAACATGACGGCAACAACTAGAATGCTAAACGGCTATTGAAAGCCCTAAATCTGATCCAGTAAGAGGTGAAGCTGACAAAACATTTACGTAGACCGAAGTTTTGCGAGTGATACATTGAGTTCGAAGAAATAACATTCAAAATCACATGCTCTTCAGTTTCATGTTTTGATCATTGTTGGGACTCTTGTTGGTAACCATCCCTTTCCTACTGAATTAAAATAAAGTGAAGCAACTCGTCATGTTTTACTGTCGTGAGATGAAAGAAATGGGTTTGTAACTGTCGTGAGATGAAAGAAATGGGTTTCATTCACAGACCGAATAATGTGAATCTCATCAGAGAGGAAGATGTTGCTGTTTTCCAGAAGAGTCACAATTTGCGATTGTATGAATGTGTACAAGAACACCCCTGAATTTATATCTAGGTAGAATACACTGATACCCCTTTTCATGCAGTTGAGCCAAATACTGACTCATAGCTAAGGGGGTAAGATGGTTTTCATTATACAGTCAGCACTGAACTTATGTAATCTTTTTGAGTAGAAAATCTTTTTGGATTGTATGTTGTCAACAGTATTTCAGCAACTGTGAGCAGAACAGAATTTTTTTTGAAGATTTTTTTCTTTTGTGATTTAGTTTAAATATCTCATCAATGTTGTTTGGCTGCATGTATAAAAAGCTAAAAACCCATAATAAATGCTTTTTGTGAGCTACACTATCTATTAGAGAGTCATAAATGAAAAGCTCCCCTGAAGAATAAACTACCTATTACAACTGCATTCTCAGCATACTCTCATCACTGCTTACTAAAAAGCTAATATCTGTTTGTATATGTGCTCATATGTTTCACTGAACATGTTTAGAGCTAGAATGAAAACAATTGAAGCTGCTAAGGGCACCTAATGGTTACATAGGGCCTGTTTTTCATGAGAGCTTAGCTACCATAGTTCTTATCTACCCTAGATAATTACTTGGATGACTTGTGCGTTTTCGTTCACTGGCCTAGCACCTAGAGGGAGCCCTCACAAATCTACCATAGAAAGTCTTGAAGTTGATGTCGTTTTTGGCCTTCCTCCTGAAAACAGGAAACATAATAAATATGTAGTTATTGTTCTTTCCCATAAAATCAAGTGGTTTGCGGTGCTGTAAGCTACAAATCATACTGATCTTTTCACAAAATTATGTATGTTCCAACTGAATGCGTTGTTCAGCAACAGCTGATGTTTGGAAATCTTCGTATGTCCAGCGGAAGCTTCTGCCTGCATTCTTACTCAGATTACATGCTGGGGTTGCTCTACAGCAAGCAGGCACCGCGGACTGTCAGGATCCACAAGAAATTCATAATTTGATTGCTGGCCTTGCATTATTTTGGCTTAAAGTCTGTCACCTTAAACTTCATCAGCAGATGAAGATGAAGTTATGTTTCTGTGTCTGCATTGCAACCACAGGTTTGTGGAAAGTAGTTGTTTGTATGTGAGACCAGTGGTGCCCAACTGTGACTTCATAAATTCATCATGAAGTCTTTATTCCTGGTAAGCCAGCCCTGATATTTCAGCACCAGACCACAGTGAGGAGAGTTCCCTCTTCTGTCATAGGGAGGGGTCATTTCTTTCTCTGGTACCTTTCCCCTAGCATTAGCTGGGCACCAAATAAGCTTGGGAAAAAAACATGTGTGGTAGCTTGTCTTTTGGTGAAGGTTTGGAGGACAGTGAACTGTTTTGTGAGGAGGAGATCATCAAGGTATCTGACATATTGTAGATGTCTGGGTGAAAGAGCTGATGGATTCTGGATGCTAGTTTCATGCTCACAGGATGAAAGAATATCCAGGAATATAACGGAAGGAGGTATGATTTCTGCGCGGTGGTGCTAGAATTTCACAGAATTTTTACCTGAGCGCCCAGAAACTTTCTTACTCCTCATTCTAGTTCAGTTCATTCCAGTCATCTGATGACTGATGACTTCATTTTGCTCTTATTTTAATGATTCTGGGACACTGTAATCTCCATGTTAACTGCCGTTGACTCGAAACGACTATCTTTTGAAGGATGCAACAATAACCATATTCAGTGACTCGTGTTTTATGTGACACGGAAAAGCAAGGTGAATGCTTTTTATCAACAGTCTCGAGCATAAGTAGATAGTCCCAATGGCAGCAAAGTGCTCAGGCCAGAAGAGAGGCTTTTTTGGTGGTGGTTGCTGCTTGAAGTTAATGTGCTCCGTAGATCAGAAATGCTTTGATTATGTGCTGTTGAACCAAAGGTAGAAAGTTGATAGAGAAAAGTGGATGGCAGACGGCTTGTTTGTAATACATCGCATGCCGTGTTGCAGTTAACTCTTCTTTTATGAACTGAAAACACCATTTATTATGCTCTCCTTATTAAATGGTAAGCTGCAACAGTGGGTTATTGCAAAATTTGGCATGCCAAATGCTGACCTTATATTCTGGAAGATTTTGAAAGCACTGTAAATTATTGGTTAGGGGCATTTAGAGGAACAAAAAAAAGTATTGTTTGAGAACAGTATCGTTGTTGTTTGAAGTAGGTATATTAATGAAAGCAAATGTCTTAACAAATTTGCGATGTGGCTTCAATAATAAAAAGAGCATATTATGTAGAGCATATTATGCTGTTCCTACTACAACTTTTATTTGGAAATGGAATCTTCCTTTCTACTTGTAGAGTTGCTTCGTTGCAGTGAAGAAATGACTAATAAAGATTACTTAAGCCTTACTTACTTGCTGTATTCATCAGTTTCAAAATCCAGTTTACACTGGAAGCCACTTACTACTTGGACTAGAAAATACAGGACAATATATTTAAAATGCTATTTTCCTATAGCCAAGCATTAAAATTGAGGAATTTCAGACTAAATGTCATCGCTTTAAAGAATGCGGGTATGGAGAAGTGCAGTTAAGGCCTCCAAATAACCTTAAGGGTGTCCTGATAAGACTAAGTGTTTTAAAATTGGAAGGTCTGTGTTAGCATAGCTGAAATCTTGACAGAATTGACACTGAAGCTGTCTAAATTATTGACTCCGTTTTTCATTAATCCTGGAACATTGTAAAATTTTCAGAGGGCCAGAGGAAAATGAATGGGTCCCCGTTTAAATCCTTTATACAGGAGTTGTTAGCTAACTCCGGGGTAGATTAAGAGTTGATATAGTAGTGACTAGGAACTGAAAAGGTGATTGTATGAAATATGATTATAGGAAAACTGGTGTTGTCAATCAATTTTATTGTTTTCTGTGAGACTGCATATTTGGTTAAGTTGGGTTTTTTTGGTCAGGATGTGAGATTTATAAATTAATTTACAATCAATATTCTAGTTACAATAATTAGTATTGTGCAAAATTGATATAACGCTGAAGGAGTCACAGATAATTTCAACTGTTAATGAGAAATTGTAATGAAGGATGTGTTTCTAATGGTCTTTCAGAATCTCAAGCCAACAATATCTAATGTTCATTAAAGGTCTAGAAGAGCAAAATAAGTTATTTCATATAGATTGCAGGTTTGTGGTGGGTAGTTCAGTGTTATAGAGTCATCCTGATTGCTTAATAAGCTGCGTTTTGTGAAACAATACGCACTTAAGTAGAACTCAGTATGAGGTCATACGTTTAGGAACAAAGGAGCATAGGTCACTCTTAGAGGAGGGGGGATTGTAGAAAAATAACTGTAGAGCCTAGGGGAAACCAGTGTGATGTTAGACTAGCTGCTTTGCCTAAATCAGTGAATGCAGCTGTTTAATTTCTTAGTGAAGAATAGGAAGATGATTTTTACCTCTGTAGTAGCATGGTAGCGAGCATGGTACATTCATTTGAGATTTTCATGCTTTAAAAAGAAGACTTGATCTAGAGAGGGTACAGAAAAGTGTCAAAATTTCTGCACATAAAAAAATTAAACTTTGAAAAACTTATGCTTACCGTAGTGTGAGTGGTGAAGTCTTAAGCTGGAGGATTTTTAAGAACTGAGGCTGTTCTTCTGGGACGTTTTTTTCGGGAACAAGGCTGATTTAAGCAGTGTCTGTTCCTGGCCACTCATTCGGCAGCTTGGTTGCCTGCATCGCTGGCCTGATGAAGGAACAGATCCGGACTGAAAACTCCTTCTGCTTTCTGCCTTTCTTTTTTATGTATTTGTTTTTGTTTTTATGGAGAAAAATCTCCATTAAACAATGGACTAAAAGCAGTTAACTGTTGGAGCAGCTTTATTTAGGGTTCTGGGAATTGCCCAATGCTGAAATTGAAAACTATACCATAGTTAAAACAGGAATTAATGTAAAGAATTCTTATAACTTCTCCTAAACAGGAAGTTGATCTTTGTCATGATGGTCCCTTCTGATTGAATAGTCTACAGAGGTTCAGTCTGTTTATTTTATCAAAAATAAAACAGCAAGATAACTTGATTCCAATACGTAAGCAAGCTTCACAGGGAGAAAATAACAAGTACTACATCGTTCATCAGTCTTGTAGAGGAAAGCTTGCAGCCACTGGTTCTCGTTATGCGTAAGCTAGGCTCACTTGAATTAGATATAGGACATGCATTTTTAACAGTGAAGTGATCAGCTGTTAGGAAAAAACTAAGGCTAAGGGAGGTGGTGAATATGCCACTTTCTGACACTTTCAGATCAAGAATATGCTTTTTTTTTTGTTTGTTTGTTTGGGAAGAGATGTTCTAGTGCTCTGATTTGAAAAAGTTACTGGTTTACATGCTGTCAGTTTGTTACGAAGAAAAACAGATCCCTTAAGCTCACTAGGAAATCCTTACTTCATGTTCAAGCCAGGGATCATACTTTGCAATTAGGTAAGTTCGGAGTAGTTTATTTACCTATCTCCCCTGATCTTAAATTATCAGGGAAATATGAAGAAGGAACATTATATTACTTAACTATTGTGTGTGGCATGGTGCGCTGCCAGTGATTTATTCCCTGCACTTCAAAAATGCTGAAAAATCAGAGTGCACTTGAAGAATCATGAGAATATCCTGTCCTTGAATCAGTGCCTTCCAGTAAGGGATTTTAAACACTCGCTTGATTTAGCTCATGGAAAATTTAAAATCAAACAGTTTAGTCTGAAACTATTTATGTGGGGCAATAGTGGTGGAAGGTTTGGACTTCTGCGGGTTTGTTTGTTGAACTTGACATAAACAGCGTCAGTTAGCTAGAAGGTGAAATTAGAGTTTCAGGCTAAAGACGTTCCTCTTTCCCAGCAACAAAACTAAAGTTGCCGGTGAATGAAATGAATTCATGCCTGCATACCCATTAGGATAGGCTGTCTTTCAAACCCAAATTGTCTGGGAATTGCTGGGTAGAATTCTGTGCTTGTGTTAGGTAGGAGGTCAGGTTAAGGGCTTCCAAAAGCCAGGGAGAACTTAAAAGGATCATATAACCTGCCACCCTTACGTGTGTCTAAGCAGATACTTGTCATTGAAAGTAGATGCTTTTCAAGTGAAAATGCATCTAAACAGAGAACTCAAACTGAGAGGTCTGTAAGTAGTTTGGGTAGCAGCCTTTTGCTGTTACAGAGATGGGAATTTGTAGAGAAATCCCCCAGGCAGAGGTAAAATAGTAGTCAGCTGAGATACCAGGTTGTCTTTCGATTTATTAGCTGCTTGATGAAATCAATAGAAATGTCTAATAGCTTGTCTATGCGTACAGTTATTCTAGAATGGCTATTGTACTTTAAAATCACGTCCTTCCTTAATATGCGTTAAACTGGGATTCAAATCCTGGTTTGAAAGCTGCTAGTTAAGGCTCTGAAGAGATTGTTTCTAGAACCGTCTGATCAAAGCTCTTTGGAGACGGTCATCTGTGCTGTCAGTGTGGCTCCCCAGTCGGACACATCTGAGAATGGACATATGGGATCAGACCAGGTCCATCTACCAAGCGTTCTGTCTTCAGCGAAGATCGCTGTAGTTCTCAGGGCCTGATGCCCTTCAGCACTGAAGGTTAAGTCTGGCCCCAGTACTGACAGATGCTCTGCTTGGAGGTGTAGGTCAGGGGTACAGCAGAGACCTCCGAAGTGAATCGGGGATCTTGAATTCAGCCTACAGTGCACTGATTCTCATGCCCCGTGAATCTCTGGCTCTTTGTGCCAGTGCTGCTTTCCATGTATTTGCAAAAATTCACTTTGCTCGTATGTTGCTGTTTCTTGCCTGCTGCTGCCAGAACCTATGTATCCGGTTTTTATGTGCAGTGATCTCCACAGTGAGAAGAATGACACATCCTGTATGCAAACCCTGGTACCTGTTCTATTTTAATGCCTGGACCCTACGTATGGTTTCATCTCCTGTCTTTACAGGGCCACCTTTGGATCCCAAGGGGCAGCCTGCTCTGACATTCTAGAGTCTTTCAGTTAACCTCAGCTTTCATTCCTCAGAGTTTGGAGTTGGCACATAAACACTTGGGGCTAGAGAGGTGATCACCGTTGCGAGCTCAACTTTTTGGCTCTGGTTCTCAAATGGGAAGGATTTATGTTTTCATCATCTGCAAAACAGCCTAATTTTTATCTCAAGTGAGAGATATACCACCAAGCCTATCTTACTGGAGAGTTCTGCATGTGAGACCCTTTCTTTGCAAGGAGGAATTTAATGTTTTTGTTAGAAAATCACCTACACTCAAAATTACATAGCAAGGGTCGCATCACCACAAACTAGGTTAGCTGATGATTGGAGTTACCGACTAATGTTAGCCTTTTAACAGGGTCAAAGAGGGATTAGTTCCCCTTCAAAAAGGAAGATTTATGGATGACACACTGACACCATTGGAATGATAAGCGATGGTGCCAGATCGGTTCTGTGTCATTTTGCCTAGATTCTGTGATGATCTGAGTTTCTTTTGAATGTGTTTTTAATACAGCCGCAAAAAACATAAGACTAAAGGGGACCTCCTGAGTCACTAAGTCTGTTCCCTTCCTCTCAGAGGCAAGAATCACATAACACCTTTGCAAAGGCAGGATCATAGATCTCGGAACAAAGAATGTAGGTCACGCTTACAGGGTGGGCATCCTGGGAAGCAACGAATTGGTGTAGTTAACTGAATGAATGCGTGTTTCTGTGGCAAGAATTGCTAAGATATTCTTTTGGATCTTACTATGAGACATTGTCTAGCAAAGTAATGAAAGTGACATGTCTGTCTTTTGTGTGACATTGGAAAGGTTGCAGCTAAAAGTCTACTTGCAGTTTCAACAGGATGTTGTAAAATATAGGAGAGGCTTCAGAAAAAAGCCAGAAGAAAAGTATTATCTGGGCGCTAGAAAGCTTGTCTTATAAAAAGAAGCAAAAGGATTATGATTTGTTTATTGAAAATATCTTGAATATCTTTTCTTACAGGAAAAAATCAAGAATAGCTTCTTGGACAGTGAGCAGATGAAATTTTTGGTTAAAAAGTGAGATGACCAGGAAAAAGGGAAAGTCGAAGCTAACCTGTAGAACAGCTTACCAGTGATAGTGGTAGGTTCTTGTTCACTTGAATCTGGGCGGAGGAGGAAGAAGGTGGTGAAGGAGACTGTCTGTCTGTCTGTCCTTAAGTTTTAATTAAACAATGAGTTTGGATGAGATGCAAGATTTACCAGCTGAAATCATATGAAGTCTGTTATTCCCTTAACAATGTATCCGAAAGGAAGAGTATAGAAATAGTTCACCTGACCATTTGTAGTTTATATTACTACTTGGACTATTAATGTAAATGTGATTCTTACAGAATGCCTTCTACATAGTTAGATTTGCTTACAAAGTTGATAGAAAAGTGTCAAATTTGGTGTTGGTCGCATTTTCTGCGTGTGTTTGTATTCGGGTTTATTCTACTGGGACTGTAACATTTGCAAGGGGCCATATTTACAAAGGAAATGAAAATTTAACAAATGCATGTTGACGTAGTCAAATGATGATGTATGTCTTTATTTGCAGGCTCCTAACAATCATATTTGAGCAGTAGAAAGCAGCAAAATAATTTCAGATAAAGGGGCTGTGCAGCATTAACAATCCTGGTTTTCTAGGATTTGAATTTTTTCTATTACTCATTCTTAACCTTCATGCATTAGCGTGGTTATTGGGGGAAAAAAAAACTTCAATTGGTCTTTTTAAACCTTTTTTTTTTTTTTTTAAAGGGGGAAATCCAGACCAATTGCTTTTGAGGACCTTGGAAGTATGCACTGGATGGGAATGGCTAGTTTTATAGACTTTCCAGTTACAAACTTAAAGGAAGTTGGCTTGTAGAGTTGGTTTGCGTGTGCTGTTGTCTTCAACAGAAAAGCTCATAACGATAACTGGTTGGTTTGCAGAAGTAGCCTTGCCACAAAACACAGCACCCTCTTGTGGTGCTGCTGTATTTCAAAACTGCTCAAAGGCATTTCTTTCAAAACAAATGACTTTTAATAATCCTTTTAATGAAGGTCTTGTTTATCTTAGCAGGTTCGATTTCAGACTGCGTGCAAAATGAGCTAAGTTCCTAAAGAAGGGCTGACTACATCTGTGTTACGTGTTTAGGAATTGAGGCAATTACTATACCCTGCAATATAAAAAGCTAAATGTAATTCTCGTTGGATATATCAACGTTTAGTTTCAGATGCTCCAAAGTGAACTGTTTGTGTCTTCAAAATGAATAGGCGATAGTCAGGATTACCTGTCTGCTAGACCTGTCTTAATTCCTCCAAACTGTGGCAGAGTGGCTATGTATCCATAACTTTGACTAATGTAATTTGAAACAGTTTCTGTGATACGTGGGATGTACAGTCCTGCATTTTTTAAGTCAGAAGAGGCCTCTTGTAATAATCAAATATGACTTACTGCATAATATATGGCACGCATTTCCCTCAGCTCTGCCTCCTTTAAAAAAAAAAAAAAACCACAAAGTTTTACAATGAGTTTTACAACTAAATCCAGTGTTACCTCTTACTAAGTCAGTGTCTATCATGTCTCTACAAAAATTGTTGCAATGACTTTCTCCTCGCTAAAGTTGCACTCTTTTTATGCTATTAAATATTTGTTTCTAATTGATGGGCCATCTGCTTGCTGGACTAAGAGACTCTCTCTCTTAACAGACCAGAAGTCCTGTATTGAATAGATCAGATTTCTAAAGTTTCTGTTTGTAAAGCAGCTGACATACCACTGATGTGTTCAGGTGTGTGTACTGTTAAGTTCAGTATCATTAAACCTAAAAAGTTGTCCTTTATCTGTAAGCAGTAGCTCTGAAGCAGAGTCTCAGGCAAGAGGAACAGTATCATCAGCAATGTCATTGCCGTACGTGATCTTCTGAATTCCTGCTCCTGTTGTTTTTATTCTTGCTTCTTCCTCTTTATCCCCTGCAGATGCTTGCTTGGTACAGGATCCATTTTCTGGGTTATGGTTGACCCACCTAGAACATTGGCTCGTTACTTAGCTAAGCAGTCAGTACCTGCTTCCTCATTTTCCTTTACTCTCCCAACCTAAGCAAAGCGCTTAGGAGTTGTATGTTTAACAGCTGTCTTGAGCAGTTTAATTTCACTCCCCAGAATGCCCTGTGGGTGTTACGTGTGTCATAACCTCTGTTTGTCCTCTGCTGGTCTCTTTGCCTTTTTTCTGTTGCTCTGTCTTCATGCGCAATGCAAACTCCAGCGTTTTGCCTAATGGTCTAACCAATGAATTCAGCTTGAAAGTCAGATTTGTCTTGTTGAGATACAGTACAGGTCTTGCCTTAAAAGTCAGTGTTTCTTTTCCTATAGTTTAGGAGCTACAAATGGTTCATCAGATATCAGAACATTGCAAAAAAGTGCATTGTTTTTTGTTTTTTTGGCCAGATTTTGAATTTCATTGTATTCCGTTTTCTGGCAACCAAAGCGGTCAATAAAAGTAGGGTTAACTTTTAGTTGTAAATAAAAGCATCATGACGTTACGCACTGTTTTTAGTCTTGTTTAAAAAATGATTGAGAATCACATGCCATTGCTTGAGAATTGACCGTTCACTTGATAATTTGTCATCTTGACTCCTGTTGTCATTTTTGCTTGAATTTTAATTTTAACCTGACCTTGCCAAATCTTAATGTGCTGAAAATGCCTGGTAGGATCAGAAGTCTTCTCTCTTACAGCTAAATTAGAGATCTGGATTAGTTACCATACGTTGGATAAAATGCATAGATCGTTGTTCCTCCCTCAGTTTTTCCACACTCTCCATGATTTTTAGATCTCCGTGATTTTTAGATCTCTTCTCTCTAGTTTTGAAAATTCCTGGTTCTGCCACAGGCTTTGTTTCTCGTGACAGGGCAGGATTCTGTCACAATATAGAATTGAGCCTGGATGTTTGTACATAATTGCCTTGCACATCTGTTATGGTTGTTTTTGAAAATTACTTCTGCTAACATAGCAAATATTCTGCTTGTGATGCTGTTTTTATTTCAGTTGGTTTAGTCCACAGTCACTGAGGAGAGTTTTGTTTTGTTTTGTTTTCCTCTAGGTAGAAAGCTCTCCTGTCTTACTCTGCTATCCATAGCTCTCATGCGTGTTATCTTCGTTCTGTAATTAGTGATAAAAAGATAGCTTTATATGAAATGAATTGCTATCAAGCTTAAATCAAACTTAATTTGTTTTAGTGAAGCAGTATATTGCCAAAACAACTGCATGTGATAAGTGTCAGAGCTCTGAAAGACAAAATTGCTTTGTAGCCTTATTTATAAATAACACTACCAGTTGCAGATATTTCGTCAAAGTAATAATAATCTTTCTTTCATTGGTCATGTTCCAGCTGTTCCTGAATGTTTGCAAACAAGGAATTAGGAAAATAAACTTATTTGTTGTTTTTTAGTTTCTGAGCCTATCAGTTATGAGCACTAACTGCTGCATTTGTGTCCTTCGTGAGCATTTATAGTCTCTGATACCAAACGATAGTCTTCCCAGTCAAAGCAGGCATTAGAGTTTGGATCACAGTTTCTGAAATTTCACTTTTTTTCTGTGTTTCACAGAGTAAGAATATTGCATTTGTTAAAATAAGTGACACATTGCAGTTACTCGTGACCTTTGCAGTTAATTGTCATTGTGAGACTGGGACCAATGGTACGTGCCTTGCTTTTTGCTACTGAGTATGTGTAGGAAGAAGATGCACTGACTTGGTGTTTAATTGAAGGCTTATCTCTGAGGTCAGTTCTTTAGTTCCAAAGTGTTATTCATTTCATTATTTTAGTTTCTGTCTATTTTAAAGACACGCTGGAAAATATTTAAGAGGTGGACAATAACATTTCAGGAGCTAATGCAAAGACACTTTGTTTTTTCTACTTTCTAGGATTTTTCAATATCAAGTAATTTGGAAACAAAAATAGACCTCACCAGAGTTGGAAGCATGGAGGGAGTGAGGTTGGTGGCAAGATCAGATGCAGCCCTCACCTAAGGGGAGGTGCTGTGCAGCCATATAGCTGTGATCGTATCACATCATATGGGACCATGTGCTGTACTTTTTGGTGCTAAGGAAGACTTGCAAGCCATGAAGACCACTTCCATGCTCTTCTCATAACCCACTGCCTGTTTCAGATTAGCCTTGCTCCAATTTCAGGCTTATCTAACTTTTGAAGGGAACACAAAGAAGTTGTCTCTCTTTTCCTGGTCTTTTGATGGAAACGTTTCTCTGTCTTCTCTCTTTCCAGGACTGGCAGCCTCCATTTGCATGTGATGTTGATAAACTTCACTTTACTCCGAGGATCCAGAGACTCAATGAACTAGAGGTAAACTGTAAAGCTAAGCATTTCTTAAGAGCTTTTTAAAAGATGAGTGATTTCTTTTTTTCAGTGCATTGACTATGAGTTCCTGTTAACTTCAGTTGACAGCACTCTGTACCTCTGAAAATCAATCTTAATTTACCACACAGAAATTAGCTCTTTCAGAATTTATTTTAAAAATAACAAGCATAAAAACTGAAGTTAATACTCATTAAAGGAATAAAATTCAGGCCGTTTCCACATACAGGTGCTTGTAAGTGATTAGATTGAAACTCTCAAGTGCCATAATTTGTGTCTGCATTTTGCACATCTACAGCATCTTTTAAAAGTAGAAGAGATTAAACATTTACAAAGTGCTTTAGATAACAAGCCATTTGGAAGGAACAGTTACAGAATCTGGATTCAGTGGGTCTGAAATCTGCTGTTAGCAATCACTTTCATTCACTGCTTTCATGAATTTAGACTAGAAGGAGAAGGAAGTAGCAAGGAGTCCTATCAGCTCATTGCTGATAAGAACGGAAACGACAGGGACTCTTTGCCTGCCTGATTTCTCACATGAGGAGAGGATACTTGCTTTTAAAAATCCTCCCGTGACTATGTGAAGCGCCGGGGTAAGAACTGAAACACTGGATTCAGATGTTAAGACAGTGGGAGATGTGTGTGGGCGCAAGCTGGTTCAGAGCTCTTTCTGGAGTTTAAGAACAAGCTAGTCTGTTGTATAGACATAGCCTTTGTTTATCTTAAGAATAGAAAAATGTGATTATATTGAAATGTGATAAGATTAAGCCTAAGCTACTATTCTTTAACACACTAACAGTCCAATTAGAACCAAATCTTTACTGTGTGAAGTACTGCACAAACATACCATAGTTGTCTTTCCCTGCCCTGACCAGTTTATATCCACAAAAACAAAACAAATGCAGTTAAGAGTGAAAAGGGGTAACAAAAATACTTTGTCATAAGCTAGCTGAGCTGCTGGTGTTTAGGTTGTTTTTCACAGTAATAAATGATTGCGTGCCTGTTCTCACATAGTACTTTTCCAAATGCAGTACAGAAAGTTAACAGTAAGTGACTTGAGGAAAAGACAGATGGTATCTGTATGGATTTTTTTTTTTTTCTGTATGTGGGTTGACATGAGGGAAGGAAAAAAAAAAAAAAAGCAAAACTATTCTTGTAGAGGGGAAAAGCCAGGCAGGCAACTGAGGCTGTAACATTATAAACACTGGGAAACAGGAGCTTAATCTGCATTCAGTATGCAGTTCACTCTTCTTTTTTCAGGCTCAGACCCGTGTAAAGCTGAACTTCCTGGACCAGATTGCAAAGTTTTGGGAACTTCAAGGATGCACACTGAAAATTCCACATGTGGAGAGGAAGATCTTGGATTTATTTCAGCTTAATAGGGTAGGACTGTCATTATAAGGGAGAAACTTTTCTTAAAAAAAGCTATTATGTTATCCCTGTTTCTAGGACGATATCACAGTTATTTAAGAGAGATTTTAGAGTATACCTAAGCTAGAAAAAAATTATTTTGTTTGACCTAACATAGCTAATGCAGCACAAAATACTAGGAAATGTAATATAGCGTGGATTTTCATGTGAGCTAGGAGATCAAATTACATTTTCAACTCCTTCTTAAAGTTGAACCTGGATACAAACTGGTCGTGAAAGAAGTTAGGCTGATTTGGGGGAAGTTCCCGAACAATGAGGGCGGTGAGGAATAGCTTTTCTGTTTTGGGGAGCAAAAAACCCAAATTACTTTTAAGATGAAGCTTAAATTTCTGGATGAGATTATGAAATCTGAAAGCAAGGGATGGGATTCACTGACCGCAAGGATATGTTCTCTCTTTTCCTTTATGTTTAGGCTCAAAATCCATCAAATAAAATCTACGCTATTTGATAGTATATGTCCCAGTGAGAGTAACCAATTATACTGTGCAGAAAAGTAGCTGTTGTAATACAGAGTAGAGGAGTGACAAATTGCAACCTCAAATTCTCAGAAGTAGACTGAATTACGCTTTGGTCATCCAATACTGATGATGACTTGTTTGTAAAGTAATTCAAAGAACTTTATGCTTTCTAAATAGGTTATATATTCAGGCTATAGCTTTTGAACAACTTTCACATTTTTTTTAAAAAACCTTTACTGGGCTGGTTTGAAATAGCAAGTGTGATGTTGTCTTCATTTTCTTTTAAGATAGCAATTCTATTCTTAAACACTGATCATTTTAATATTTAGCGTTAAATATACGACCCTTATGTTTTCTTTTTTTAGCTAGTTGCAGAAGAAGGAGGGTTTGATGTAGTTTGCAAAGAGAGAAAATGGACCAAGATAGCCACCAGAATGGGATTTGCTCCTGGCAAAGCAGTGGGTTCCCACATCCGTGCACATTATGAACGTATTCTCTATCCTTACAACTTATTCCAGTCTGGAGCTAGCCTGCTGGTAAGTCTTGCAGCTGACTAAAACCCAACTAATTTAGCAGTCAGTCTGTTTTTTCTTCTATCTTCTTCTCTATCAGAGACTGCGTTTTGTGTTTTGTGACGTGCAGGTGACAAGCTGCATTCTGTGGTGGTGATATAAGTGTTTTAGAGACCCATAGGTAAACTCCTATTGAACATAAAGTTTGTAGAACTTAATTAAGCTCGGCTCTTCAGGGTAACCTCTTACTGACTGGTTTGAATGCTACCTATTTGTATTTCCTCCTGCAGTATATGGAAACCTCATGATAACAGATATTCAGGCTTCCTGTAATGATTTCTTCAGTGCTCTTTTATCTAACACAGAATATTACTGTGTTCACAAACCATTGTCCGTCCATCTTTCTGATGGAATAAGTCTGCTGTGGATCTTTATCACTTGTACACAGAGCAACTGATGGACTATATCAAAGCTTGGTACTTTTGTAGCAATTGGTCATTTCACTTTCACTAGAGGCATTTACACTTGAGAATACTTCGTGGATGCTGTAATGCAGTTAATAGCATGGCTTCGGAGTTCTCTAAAGCTTAAATCTTCATTCTTTCTGCTTAACGTTTGGCCATTAAAACAAAATTCAGAGTTGAATGAGGGTGGAGACAAAGTAGTCTCTAATGAAGAATAGGATTTTTTGTTTAGAGTAGCAGTCATTTATTTGGAAAACTAAGTAGGTTGCGCTTGCCGACATCCGTTTTTATGCCAATTTGTGTAGTTTTAGATGTTTTACAAATGGAGGATAAGTACAAGACGTATTTGAACGTAAGTCTTCATACTTGCTAAGAATATTTTGCCTTGCCTCAAACACATTCATGTTAAAACATGGAAAGCAATACTGTTTTATGAAGACATTTCATTCAAAATTTCCCCTATTTATTAGTTCTGAAAACTGTGGGTTCTTTTTTTTTTTTGAAGGTGGTGGTTTTGTGACATCTAGCTTTGCTCTTCTATTTTTGAGGTGCAGTTACACAGAAAAAGATGTAATTAAAGGTTTTAAAACGTTTAACTGATATCACAGACTTTCTTGAAGAGGTAGGTCCACCATGCAAGTCTCTCATGCAGTTGATGTTTACATTCATAGTTTGCGCAGTAAAGGATGCTTTGAGAAATGAAGAGCTTTCTCCAATGGCTGCTTGTGATCTCATTTGGTGAGGTCACACTTCTTTTTTAAACGTAACTTTCCAAGCTCTCTCTTGCAATAGGCACCTGACATTTGTTCCAAACTGATGTGTTTAGTGGATCATGCAGTTCTGGAAAAGGTATGTTTCAGTTCATCTTTTAAACCCCTCCCCGCACAGCTGCTAGAATATTCCCCTCCCATACATGGTATTCATGTGTCTTTTCAATGAACTGAGAGAATCTACAGAAATATGTTGAGTTTAGAACATTTTTCACCCTAAGGTTTGATTTTTTTTTTTTATTTTTTTTTTCCCTTTTTTTCCTTCCTGCCAATGTTGTCTTCCAACTGAGTTTGTTTTGCAATACGTTTTTGAGGAAGAATCTCATCTGAGATTATCTTTTTGGCTTTTTTCCATGTGTTCTCAATAAGTGGTGCTTTCCCAGATGCTTCTTGTGTAGGTGTCCATTTTATTGTACGTCTGTTCAATGCTTTACTGGGAATCTGAGCATCTGTGATTTTTGTTTTTGGAGAAGATACAGCTATTGGATTTGACAGCTGTCAGTTTCAGATGTGTGTTTCCATCTTTTGATATTTCAACAAGCCTTTTGAGAGAATTTCTTCATGCAGCCAGGATCATCATCCATAAAAGATAAGTGCTTGCACTCACCAAATATTTTTAGCTGGTAGTGCTTGCAATATCCATTGACTTATTTTCTGCGAAAGAAAAAGTACAGAATGATGTAGTTTGCCCTGATGACTATGCCGTAGCTTAAATCTTGTTCAGATCTGTGTAGAGCGTTCATTGTCTATGCATGACTTAAACATTTGTTAAAATAGCTTCAGGAGTAATTTTGGCAAATATCCTAGCTGGAGATATATCTATAGGCATACTGAAGTAGCGAAACTATCTGGAACTGTTTGGAGATGAGCGGGCAGTATGTCTTGATTAAAGCTCTTGTATCAATACTTCAGTCAAATAGCAAAACTGATGCAAGTCAGCCAGCTTCTAATACTCGGAGAAGCTCTCTGCAGACATAAAGTTATTTTATTCTTATCTTAAAAGATTAGACTAAGATGGATCTTGGGTGTATTACTCTAGGGTAGTTGCAGTGGACCGGTTGGTATACTGGTTCTTACTTTCTGTGCTTTGCTTATATTCTTAACCATTTGTAATGTTCAGTATGAGCGCTACAGAGTCACTGTATATGCAGAGAGGCATAAACGTTACCCTACGTGTAGCTGATGGCATGTGCTGTATCTGCTTGGGATGGTTTAAATGGTAACGTTTGAAAGAAATGTGCTGAAGTTAGGCAGTGGTGCTTGAACTGAGGTGCCCAGGATCTTGTCACAACTGTGATGTGTTGCCCAGATGTTTGTATTATTCCAAATGCATTACAATTTGGGGGGCTTGGATTTGTCTTGTGGTGGTCTGCTTTTCAGTGAATATAACCAGTCTGGTAATTTTCCATCTGATCTCTTTGGTGTGGATTACGTATGAAACTTTCCAAACTAAGGCTTTAAGGTCCTGAGTGGGAGTCCTCTGTCCAAATTTATATGCCTATGTCTCTAAACGATTCCTATGTGAGCTAGTTCTCTGGGAGGATTTATTGTCAGTGGAGAGAAATAAGCACTTCTATCACGTGATGCTTCTTATCCTAAAGTGGAAAGTAATAGGGGTAGATTAGTTGTACCCTGCAAGTTCCTGCTTTTTTTCTGAACGTACAGGGAGTCTGGATCATTAGTTCGTGTGTAAATGACTACTTTGTAAACGCGTAGAGCTGTAGGAGGTGAACTGTATCCCTATAGAAGTTCACCGTGTGTTCTCTATCCTTTGGCGTCCTGGAGGCCTTGTGGATGTTCCTTCCACTGCCTGGAGAAGGAGCTGTTCTTGGTGATTTCAATTGATGGATTTTTCACCTTCTCTGTGCCACCATTTGGAGATTGTATTTCTAACCATCTTCACAGAATACAATGAGATCATGGTTACAGGCTGGATCGCAGTCTATAAGATCAGCTTATAGTAGAGTAACTGTTGATTGATGTTTCACCTTTCCAAACAGGTTATACTGGTTGAGAGAGGAAACACTGAAGAAATAGCAGACAGTATCATCCTTAGTTAAAGATGCATGCTTGCAATTGATCAGGTCGCTCTAGGAGTAACATCCTTAAGACAGGATCTAAATTTCTAGTTCTTGTACATACGCTTGAAAGCATTAAATAAAAACTATTTCATGGTAGTGCTTTGCCTTCAGGGTACTGAGGCACTGAGGAACGTGATTGCTTAAATAGCTGTTGAAGCCTCAACATTTAGGGAATGTCTTCTGGGCTTTTTTCCTCGGTGACTAGTGCTCTTTTTTGCTTGGGCACTTCACTGAAATGAAACCAGTTATGCTATTTGTTGTTTTTCTTTCCAGGTTTCATTATCCTTTTATATAGGAAAAGCTCTATTAGCCTTCTACATACTTGCTTTCAAGGATCTCTGTTACTGGGGCGGAGCGAGGGGAGCAGAAACTTTTTTAGTGAAAGGCTCAGATTGCACTTGAGGACACAATTCAAGGAACCAGTATTTACATAAATGTTAAATACTCTGGAATTTGGCAGCGTTCTGTGTGGCATTAATCTGTTTTTCTTTTCTGTGCTCTCATTTTCATATTGCCCCTACTCAGCTGCCTTTTCTGCTCATCTTGTTTTCTGTCCTGAGAAATTATTATTAGTGACTTTATCTGAGGTTAACGTGAAATAATTCACATCACCATCTTTCAGTGCGAGAGTGGGAACATGCCCGCCCTTGAGCATCAGCCACAAGGACTTACTGCTCCTGTGCGATAAGCTGCAAAGTTAAGTTGTCTTGTATGCGTGTTTAATATTGAAATTAAGTCAGAAGTTTGCTTTAGAAGAGAAAAATTTACAAAGTTCAGATCAAAAGCAGTCCTAAATAATGCAGAAATTCTGGAGGTTTCTCTGAACTGTACTGTGGACTTCCTTTGGGTGACGGTTAATGATGTTCTGCTACCACTGACTGTGGGATTTTTCTTTTGTTTCATATATATTTCTTTCAGTATGGACTTATCTTCTTTAATATCACTTTTTTCCTCCTCTCCTGCCACCCCTTCTGAGTATAGTTTGTTTTTGAAAGTCTGATTTTCGCGTTGTCGACAGGTCATCCATCCTTATGTCACTGTAATGGTACGTCTGCAATTCCTGTCCTGTTTCTCTCTTCCTGAGGAAAAGCTTTTAATGGAAACAGCTTAATAGAACTGAGGAAATGTGGCTCTAGCAATTCATATGAAATACTTTATGACAACCTAAGACTTCTTGTTTCTTTAGGATTCTTTGCTCGCTCATTAAAAATTACTAAATTTTGTCTCTTGTCACTGTATGTTGTGTGGTTTGACAGACTTAAAATTGTCAGTAATAATGACTTTTCTTGCCAAATGCATGCACGGTTTTCAGCAATTAATACAAACATGTTTATTCAGTGACTTGAAAGAACTAAAGCTGTTCCTGCATTCTTCTCTTCCCTTCTGCCCTCAATTTCATACAGCAGCAGTATTGTCCTCTCCAAAATATATAAAGAACTTAACTTCTGAAATGTTCTTCAGACAAAATTGTGTTTCAGTTGAGGCAGAGATGTAGGAGAGGTTGCAATTTACTTCTGTGTCGCTCTGTATGTTGGCATTACAGTAAAACAGCCAGAGGACGTTGTAACAGTTTGCTGTTGATATGTTCTGTGAAAGGATCATCTACTACAGGAATTGGTATTAGTTCCATAGTGAAATGTTTGAATTTTATGAAGAGCTAATAAAATACTGTAGCTGCTCAGCGGAGTTCCACATTGTATGGGCTGCCGAAGAACTGTAAAGGTCGAACTGAGAAGAAACCAGAAAGACTAGAGATGAAAGACTGTCTGCTTTTTATACTGTTTTGCCACAATTTTTGTTTTGATGAGTAGTGTTGTGGAACAGAAATGTTTGTTGTTGATGAAGTTCAAAGGATGATTTCAGCTTTATTGAAGAGCCTTTATTATAGCCACAGCATTCAGTAAAATGGCAGAAAATATTGATTTTGTGACTTGCATGTTCAAACAGGTAATATTACAACTGTCATTAACTATTTCTGTTAACTCAGTGCAGTAAACATTAAAGCGCTCTCTGCGTTCTTACACAATAGCTGGGAAATTGCTTTACACAAAGCTTGTATCAGAAGTGGATACAGGAATCAAGTAATCAAATTTTCTCTCTTCAGTGTTTGCAGAAGCCAGACCTCACCAGTGACACGAAGGACAAGGAATATAAGCCTCATGATATTCCACAGAGACAGTCTGTTCAGCCATCTGAAACTTGTCCACCTGCTCGTCGAGCAAAACGCCTGAGAGCAGAGGTGAGAGATAATTTGTCTTTATATGAGTACGTGCTCTATGGTTACTGAGCTTGAAACAGTAATCAAATGATAGTTTACCTAGAAACATGACACAACAGGTTTTAGTTCAGTTGCAGGGCTAATTTTACTTTCAGTCAGATCACTAAATGTATATGTAGAGTAACTACCAACTTAACTTTGTCATTATTAAGCATGCCTAAATATTTATATGCATATGGCAAGATATGTTTGATACTTTCAGAAAGTGTATATTGAGGTGGGGAGTTCCGAGAAGCTCTTCTAATGAAGCTGTTCCACTTATACATTAGGTATGAGTTTGTATGCTATAGTAATGTTTCTAGCATAATTATAAACTACAGAGGGCTAATAGCATAGATTAAAACACGGGTGATAAATTCTGTAAATGAAGCTTATCTTGTAGAGCTTTGATCTTTGTAATTTCCTCAGATGACAGCCAATGAACAGGAGTCATTTTTTAAACGTGTTGGGAAGGTTCTGTAAACCTTTCATGAACTGAAGACGGACTTTAGAGAAGGTTTTTGGTGCAACTTTAGCATTGTTTTATTTCATTTTTGACCCTCTCTGAGCTCCGTGAGTTTAAGTTACTTTTACCGTGCAATATGAGGAAAAATCGTGTAACACAGTCAGCACAGTTTTGTACAGTCTAGCTAGATTAATCTTACATGTGCTTAAGAAATAATATTTATTCGGCTTAGCATAAAATTTATTGACTGTATCTCCATACAGTTCTCCTATGAAGACAAATTTTAGAAGATTTTGTATGTCCTCTCTTTGTTGCTGGACAACTGTTCTACTGTGATTGCAGTCATTCCAAACTGATGGTATTGCCTTCAGAGAGTTCAGTTTTTCTTTTATTTGAAAAGATTTAAGAGTAGAGGAGGCTTGTTCCCAAGCGACAGTCTTACTAGTGGTGACATCATGAGTCAGGAAGGTCGTGACTGACCCTCTTCATCTTTGTAATCAGATTTGTATTTAAAATCATTTCAGGATTTCAATTAGCTCCCATTGTTCTAACCTTGGTCTTTCTTACCACAGAGTAGTACCACTTAGTTGTTGCAAATGCTGCCCATAACTATTTTTAGTTAATAACAGTTATGATTGAGGTTTTCTAAAACTTTTCCACCACTAGACCCTGTTAAAAGTACGTTTATAGTTCTGAGAAAACCTTAGTGGTTTGAGCTGAAATGTTCCGTGTGAAGTATCAGTTTGTGGTTGAAAGACATGAATTCTAAAGTTTCATTTAAAAGGCATAGGAAATATTTACTAAAATGGTAGCTGTTTCACTGATGATGATGGTGTTGGATGCTCTAGCTACCAAAGGATGCATATTTTTGTCATTTCCGTGAAAAATACCTGCTCGTATTTAGCCAGAATGTAGGGCTATGTAAGGCTCTCTGTTCCTACCCTGAGCACTGCTGACGTCATGCACTTTAAGTGATTTTGTGGCAAAAAAAAATTCTTACTTAAAAATAGAATTGAAGATAGAATTGAAACATATAAATTAAGGGGCATGGACTGACTTGCTTTGGGAGGAGCTGTAGTGCTTAAGACTTCCAAATAATAACTTCCAAAGTTAAGATTTGTTAATAGATTATGTGAGTGCTGCTATTCCATTTTAGTGCAAAGTCAGCTACGTTGATTAAATCCCTTTTGTTCTTCCCTTTAAGCTAGACAGGTGATTTTTATGGTGGCTTGGTTGTAGAGTAGTCATGTGTTTGGTTAATGTACCTCAACTTTTTGTTCCAGCTAAATATGCGAGGATTTGTCAGTGTCTTAAGTTCATTCTGTTTACAGATTTCAGATTGCCCGCTTTTTTTCATCTGTTACAAGCCTTTAAAATGAGTGAACTGTAGGAAAGCCCAGTAAATTATTTTTATCAGCAACAATACAGGCTGTGATAAAAATTTTTCTTTGCATTTGAAAAATGCATACAATTTTACCTTGTCCTTTGCTACACGTTGAGTAAGCATCTAAAAGAAAATGTTCCTAATTAAAATGGAAGAGGGCTGGTTTTGAAATGCAGAGAATTTAGATGCTTGGTGTACAAAAGAACGGCATAAAAGACCACAGCAATGATGGGGAAGTAAAAATGAGAGGAATAGATAGGATAAAAATATCTGACAGACACGAGAAATACTGGAGGGAAAAAGTACCCAAGAGATTCTCTATGGAAAGAGGCTTTTTTGGGGGGGGGCAGTTGTTATAGTGCATTTTGTGTAGGGTAGGTGACTTAAAAGGGTTTGCCTTACTCTACATATGAGGGAGGAAAGCTGAAAAAAGAAAAACTATTGCAAAGCTAAAAACAGGCTTAAACATAAAAAGCAGGATATAAATCCTGGACATTAACAATGTAAAAGATTAGGCATCTCTTACGGCATTTGATGAGGATCAGTGCAAGCTTGTGTATTACTAAATATTTTGACCAGCATTTTTTTGCCTATGTTAAGCAATGGGGCTTATACCTCTTCTCTTGAAGACAGTAATTCGGACAAAGAGAACAAAAAAGGTGGAGGGGAAATGATATGAAAGCAATCTGTTGGGGGAGGGGGGGAAGCTTGAAATAAAGAACTACAAAATAGAATAAATCCCTGGTGATGCATTCAGGCTGGAAATCTCTCTTTTAGAATTAGACAACCAGCCCACGTGGGGGACAACAAGTCCTCGCTGGGGCGAGGGAGGTGGACTGACTTGCATGAGAGTAACAAGAGGGTGGTGGTTGCATGACCTCATTTCCTTAGGAAATTAGGTTTAAAAGGTGCAGTGTTGAGAAAAAAAAACCAACCATCTTTACTCTGAGGGTTTTGAGAATTGTTGTCCCACAGTCTCAAAACTTCAGCAAAGAAATACTAGAATTAAATGGAAACACAACTCTTTGTTGAAAGCCCCACAAACATCATCTTTCTGAGTTCTCTTCCTAGAAGACCAGAGTATATACTACTTCTGAAAGAGTAAAATAAAATGTTTTGAAAGACCCAATATCCTTGCTCCTTTGCTGCTTATCAAGTTCCAGTGAGATCATTTTCTCTTAAATTAAAAACATTATGGTGTCATTATTGGCAAAGGATTTTTGTAAGCTTTCCTTTCAGACCTGTCCAGATTGTTCTCTGTGTCATTTCTCTCTGAAGTCTGATTTTCTTTTTTTCTGTTTTTTTAAAGAATTTAAATACAAGTATCACTGAAATTCAGGGTGCCTTTTTAGATTTATTAATTTGCAACTAGAAAATGGTTCTTTAAGCAAGTATAAACAAAGTCCTCAAAAATTTTCCTCTGGCTTACAAATCTGACTGGCTTTTTCCCTAGAACAAGTCAGGTTACAAGTTTGAAGACCACTATTGTATCTTGAGGAAGTGAAATGTTTGAGTGTGTCTTGCATAAGCCTGTTCTCTGAACCCGAGGCACCTTGGCTGTCCTCTCTTGGCATTTATCGGAGTGGATTAAGATTTGTATCCAGAAATACATTTTGAACTTGAAAGTCAAAATTGCATTTCTTTTTAATTTTGTTCATCTCTCAGTTCTTGAAAGTATTGAGAAGTGTATTTAAAAGCCTTGAAGGATCTGCCACCAAATTTACTTAACCATAAAGACTTGCAGGGTCCTATTCAGATCTTAAAAGCTCTCTTGCTAAGGCTTTGAGTGTTGGACATAGCCAACTTTTTCCCTTCTTCGGAGCCAAAGCAACTCAGAAGAGTGGAAGGAGTTCAGTACAGGTTGGATCTGCTTGGATGCGCTGCCTTTCCTGGAGCATTGCATGTAATTGCCAGCTTTCTGAAAGTTTTTGGTGTTTTGCGTAAGCTAGTAAGTCCCAAAAGCATAGGTCTGTAGTTGGGTAAGGAGCTATGAGCTTAGATGACAGTTAACAGTTTCCCACATAAAAGTATAAAACTGAAGTGTTCCATTTAAGACTCTTTTTTTGTTTTGTTTTGTTTTAAGGCTACCAATATTAAAACTGAATCTGAACCTCCAGAAGCCAGAACTCACAATCTGAGACGTAGAATGGGATGTGCACCTCCAAAGTGTGAAAATGGTGAGTGGCAAGTAAGGAGTGAGGCAGAAATTACATTCACGTTTTGTTACTTTTTGCAAGCTCATTTTAAGACCAGAAATAAATTTTAACAGTTGTAACAATTCAAAGTGTCTGAAGAAATAGTTTTGTTAACTTCATTTTCAAAAAATGAATTTACTGTGAAAGCATTTTACCGCTTTGAGTTTTTTTTTGTTTTGTGAGTGTTTTTTTTTTTAAGAAGGTATTTGCAGTTAAAGAAAATTCTGCCTGTTTAAACTTCAGCGTCTTTAATAGCTAACATCAGTCTACCAGCTTTAAAAAGAGGTAACTTTTTAGAAGGTGTCAAATTTCAAAAACTTTTCTTAAGAAAAGAGTTTTAATTCAAAATCAAGAAAGCAAACTCAGGAAGATAGAAGATACTATGTTGTGAATTTACTATTAAATTCTCATATTACTTCTGATTTTTAAATTGCTTCTATTAATAATCCCACATCGGTTATTATCTGTCTTTTTAAAGAAATGAATATTTTCAAGCTGAGAAGAACTGTTTAATGCCATCAAGTTGAAGAATAAAACTGTTGATAATCAATTTGGCAAAGTACATATGAGAACCACTTATAATTACGCTAATTATTAACATTGTCTGAGCACTTTGTGAGTCTTCTGTTTCATTCAAACTCTTTGTTTTCAAGAATTTACCTATAGATTGTGAACCTTTTATTTGATGATTTTTTATTAAAGACAAAAAGCTCCTCTAGGAGCTACTTTTTTGTTCTGAAAAGTAGAAGGGAAATGATTTAGACAGTCTTTAATGGTTAAATTGTTGATAGATGTATGCGTTCTTTTTCATAATGTCTTTGTTAGCTTCTTGGACTTCAAGAAGTGCGTTAGATTGTTTCATGTCCACACGTAGAAACCTCTGGCTTGCTGGTAGCTTGGGTATCCCTGTTTCTTGAACACCATAGTCCTGGGATTCTCTGTGCTCTGCTGTATGGCACGCGGGGTGGGATTGGGTTGTTTTTTTAAATTCAGGAATGAAGACCTGAGTAGCAACACGCGCTACTTAAGCAGCCTTCATGTGAAAGTCAGTTCCAGAATTCAAGTGTATGTGAGCAAGCTATCTATTTACTGTCCAGTAAGGGCGCATAGCTGTCCAGGCTCTTTTGTAATTGCCTGCTTCTTGATAGACACAACGTTGATTTACAGGGCTTCAGGTAGTTGCTAGGAACAATTTGGGTACCAGACTGTTGCTCACACTAGAAAATTGCTTGCTACATGAATGGACTTGAGTCACAAGAAGCTGCGTGTTTGGGGTTTGAGCGTGTCTTTGTAGATTCAGCCAGTGTTTGAAAAATATTTGCTTCTCTATTCATCTTGATACATCATTAGTTGCATGTTTGTTTCCGTAAGACAACTTAATAGAAGAGACCGGCTGCTGTCACAGAGACTTCATCTGTGATAGCATGCCTTAGTTTTGAAATCTTAAGAAGTATCATAGTGCTTTACTTTTTACTAAAATACCGCTAGACTGCACTGGGCACAGTGTTACTATATTTTGAGGAACATGTCATTTTGATTCCTAAGAGGCAGTAGGGGGAGAAGGGTAGGAGTGTAAGAAAGTAGTGGGACTGATTCCTGTCTCAGGGTGACTTTTGCTGCATGCTTATCGTTGATGAAACCTTCCCATAAAAGTTATCTCTGCAAGAAATTGGAGTGTAAAGATCATCACAAGAAGCTGTAGTGTTGTTTCATGTCTTCGTGTTATATGCTACAGTAAAACTGTCAGAGTAATTCAACCACGTTTGTTAACACCACACATGAACAAAATGTTAGGTTATGAAGGTGAGTGGTCTTTCTAAGTATTTAAAGTACCCACTCCGAAAAATATGGGCTGTGATGATTATAAATATTATTTTAAAATTGTAAATAAAAAAAAATACCCACTGGCGGCATGATAGCATTCTTGGTTGGTCTGGTAAGACTGGCTTATTGCAGGCATTCAAATCTTGCCTTAAGTTAACTGAAATAATTGGTGTTAATGTTGCATTGCCATCATGAAATAAGGCATCTTTAGCCATCTCTGCACGTAGCTAATAAACTTGGAGAAGTCAAAACAGTTTTATGAGCGTACCTTCACTGTTGATGTTCTTAGTTCAGCCTATAGCAGTGATAAACCCCATTTCAAGGAGAGATGTTCCCAATGTGTTTGGGATAACAAGTAGTTCAGAAGGTAACAACAAGTAATGCAAAGCAACAAGTATAACACACAAAACAAATGATAATGAGTAATGCTGAGCAGTAAGACATTTTCTAATAGCCTTTTCTTTTTTCTCCTATTTTACCAGAAAAGGAAATGCATAGCACAGTGAAACTTCCTGAGAAGAGAGAACAAACTGGGGAGCCAGAGAAAGACAAATCCAAAGTCCGGTCTAAAAAACCCACTAGTGCTGTGAGTATGCCCTGCATTCTTGATGCTTCGTATTGATTGCAGGCTTTTCTGGGTTTCTCTTGGGTATGTAGTGAAACTTAGTGTAATTTATATCATGTTAACGGCTTTCTTGTATTTTTCGTGCAACTCTGTGGTTGACACAAAGCAGTGTCTGTGCCTACTGGGATATAGATACCCCTAAAGTTTCATGCTGTTAGAAGCTGAAAATAACAGAGTAGTTAAGTTTCATTTTTCTGAAGTAACTTGTCTCCTGTCCCCAAATACAGTCTTAAAATAGCCATTTTGAAAGAAGAGTCCAAACAGAAGTGATTCTTCTGTGATCTGATGTCTTCCTCCATTGCTGCTTCGTCTCAAGGGGAGTTCCAATACAAACTTTGGCACCCAGCTGTACAGCAGACTTGGCTCTTATTCCACAATTTCACCACTAGTTTGGAAGCTTTGTTGTTCAATCGCTTCTTCTTAACACCTCTCCCTGCCCCCCCCCCCAACCCACACAAACAAGCAAACCCAAAGTGATGTTAGTTTGTCTGGGTATGGAAAGTATGACACAGAGATTTTTCCTGTGCACACTATCATCTAGGTCCTTCTTAAAATTATAAAAGTTCTTTTTTTTAATCCACACCTATTACTAGGGACTTAAGAATAAAATGCACAAATACTAGAAAACTGACCAGAAAAAAGCATCCTCCATTTCCTTTTATTTTTTTATTGTGATTTTTTTTTAACAATGTAAGACGGGTGAATTTACTTGTCCTCACCAGTTCTATTCTGTATTTGAAAAAAGCCATCCATTCTGTCACTAATGAAGCGATAGTGTCTGATTGGCAACAGACAATTCTTCCCAAACGTTTTTGGAGGTCTGCACCTTATCCTTGGAGCTCTGTAACTGCTGTGTGAAACTTTCATCATACTTCTTTAACAGCTGCCCTCTGTCCAAAAGCATGTGGTTTTGCTTGGAAGCTGATGCCTTTTCAAAGCAAGATGAAGGTCTTTGCCAATATCTCTGAGGAAAAAGAAACACTCCCATCAAGAGGAACCCCTCTATCTCTTCTGAGGCTCCGAACAGTTGGCCTCGGAGGAGACTGAAGCACATGTGCGCACATGCTTATTTAAGAGCAAAGAACCCAACAAGAGAAAGGATATGTGAGCCACTCACTGACAGGGTGTTATAATATAGTTCCAGAATCCACAGTACTGCTGATTAAAACTATCTTGAGTATATTAAATCAAGTCTTCTGTCATTTAGAAAAAACGCCACGTAAAGGCTTGCAACTCTTATGGTCCTTCATTAAATTTCAAAGGGGAATTATTTAAACTTATACAATGACGTAACAAAATTGTGTTCGCTTATCTCATTTCCCTTTCGACTATTAAAACGAAAAAAAGCTTGAGCAAACGTCATAGATGACTTAATTACCAAAGTGCTCTTTCAGCATGAGTTACCTTAAGTGCTCAAATTCCCACTCTAGCTATTTTTTATTGCAGGTGGATTTGTATGTATGTCTCTTATGTGGCAGTGGTAATGATGAGGACCGACTCCTGTTGTGTGATGGCTGTGATGACAGTTACCATACTTTTTGTTTAATTCCACCCCTTCATGATGTTCCCAAAGGGGACTGGAGGTGTCCCCAGTGTCTGGCTCAGGTAATGTGAGAAAACATAAAAGTTAGACTGGAGGTTGTTTCTGTTCTTTTCTTGATCTTAGTGACTGGAAATATAATTTGTTATTACTTAAAGTTGCGCAGACAAGGTGGTTGAGGGTGAAACTAAAACGAAGACTGGATGTGTTTCAAATTGCAGAGGTATCACTAAATATTCTGGAGCCAAAAATTCATCTGCCTTAGTACAGCTGCAATTTCAAAAACTACTTTGGAATTTAATTGCCATCTTCCCTCTCTATTTAAAAGTACAGTCTCATGGTGTGCTTCCGTTTGGAGGTTTGCACATTGTTTTTTTGCTTTGCTATATTAGAGGAAGCAGAAATTATGACATAGGCTTATTAACCCATTAGTGCTCATGCAGATTTACTAATAAATACATATTGTAGTTTAGTGAATTAAACACAGAGCACAGAGTCAGGGCTCTCTGGATGCACTTCCTACTCTTCCTCTAACTTTGCGTGCACCTTGGGGCAGTCATTTCATTTTGGTCGGGTGCCCCTGCTTTCCTCCTCCTGTCAAACGGGGAAATACTAACCCATCTATATAAAATATGAGTGCAGATCATCGTATTAACATAGTAATGTTATTAATTGCAGGAATGTAATAAACCTCAAGAAGCATTTGGCTTTGAACAAGCGGCAAGAGACTATACGCTTCGCACGTTTGGAGAAATGGCAGATGCATTCAAGTCGGACTACTTTAACATGCCAGTACATGTATGTTTGTGCATTTATCCTGATGCCATAATGTAGATTTCTTTTGTTGTGCTTAGTCAAATTTATTACTTGAGGAGAGGAGGGGAATTCTAGTTTTGAGTGGGAACAAATCCAACATTGGGTGTTCTGATTTGTGTTAATAATTTGAAGGTTCTTGTTCTTGTTGGTGTCGTAGTTTCCGGCTCCACTAGCTTCTTGTTTTCTCACTTTTGAAAAAATGTCTTCAAGGAAGAGAATATTCTCCAACTATTGCCCTTAGCTGAGAGCTTAAAGAGAATGCCTGTCCTAACCATGTTTCTGCTGCACTTCATTTTCGTGCTGAACTGATTTTGAAATGGGAGAATGCTTTAAGCTAATGGCACTTCCTCCCTGAGCTAGCTTTTAGGCACGTGCCTTTTACATTCCTGATTCCTGAGCACATACTCCTTGTATGTTTATATTTTTCTTCTTCTCATGCCTAGATGGTCCCCACAGAGCTGGTTGAAAAAGAATTTTGGCGACTCGTTAGTACCATTGAAGAGGATGTCACAGTGGAATATGGAGCTGATATTGCTTCAAAGGAGTTTGGCAGTGGCTTTCCAGTTAGAGATGGGAAATTTAAACTTAGACCAGAAGAAGAGGTAGGTCTTGATTGGTTCACTCTGTGTTTGAATTTCAGCTATTCATAAAATAAGGCTCTTCAGTTCAAAGCAAAATAGTGGAACTGAATTGCAGACTGCTTCTTTTGTATGAATGTTTGGCATAGTGTTTAAAGAACAGAAGGATTTTGGAGCATTTTGGAGAAATAAAATTTGCTGTGATCAGATGTTAAAGGCCACACATTTATCTGTTAATAAACAACTTCCAGATTTAAAAAAAAAAAAATCTCATTTTGACAGAGCAGGTCAGAGAAAATTTTTGAAAAGAGCAGATGCATTGGAGATTTTGGTTTTTTGGTTCATTGACCTGTTTCTTACATTTTCAATCAGGGAAAAATACTTTAAATACTTTTCTTCTGTTGCTTTTTTTGCTCTCAGTTTTGCTGCCTTGTGTGTGTGGTTTTTTTTTTTTTTTTTTTAAATATAACCTCGTGTTATGTAAACCTGTGGTGGTTTTGTACAATTTTCAGGAGTACCTGGATAGTGGCTGGAATTTGAACAACATGCCTGTAATGGAGCAGTCTGTTCTTGCTCACATCACTGCAGACATATGTGGGATGAAATTACCCTGGCTATATGTAGGAATGTGCTTTTCTTCATTTTGTTGGCATATTGAAGACCACTGGAGCTATTCAATTAACTACCTGCATTGGTGAGTGTGAGGGATAAACTCAGCCTGTGAAGCAACCCCTCTTTCCTTCCCCCTTCCTCTTTTTAATTAACAGACTAAAACCAGATTCACAGAGTTCAGACCAGGATAACCCTTACAGTCTTATAGCAGCAGGATTAAATTTGACACAGTGATTCCTGCATTGATTTTACTTTTGGACAAAAGGTCATATATTGGAAAGAGACATCCATTCCCAGTTTTAAAAAATTCATTAGAGACTCAGTAGATATTCCATCAGATGTTTTATTATGCTCAGTGTAAAACTAAGAATCATGTAAACTTTAAAAATCATCTAGCTTCAACTAACAGTCTTAGGAGCTTGCATACCTTTTGTCTGTTAGATAGATCGTTCTATCATAAATCCTCTCATTATGTGAACACTTGTCACCTGCAATCAGGGCAGATCTTTGCCATCTCTTTGATATTCTAAACAGGCTGAACTCTTTAAACTTCTCACCTTCCGACAGCTTTTCTAGAGTTTGAATTAATCTTGTCACTCTTGCTGAAACCTGTCAAGCTCTTTTCCTTTCCTTTTAACGTACGTATTCCAGAAGAATGGTAAAATCACATCCCAGCTACTATTCAGTGTTTCTTCTTTTTATTCAGTTATTCGATCGCTATTTCTTGAAAGAGTTGCTGCTGGAATATGCTCCAAGTAGTCAGTTACTTATAGTGCTTATTTTCTTAGTATTTGGCAGTATTAAAACAAATGTTTGAATGAAGCTAAGTAAATGAGTGATCCAGATCACACTGTAAAAAATGACCTTCTTTTGCTATTTATTGCTTTTTTGTCTGGGTCTTCAATCAGGCTGAGAATCGTGTAAAGGAGAGGAGGATTTTTGAATGAAATAACTTAATTCCTTCTAGTAGGGCTTTCCTCACTGTTGTTTGGAATGGTATCGTCTTCTGCATCATTCGTCTCAAATTACGTTGGCGGTTGCTGTCAAAGCCAGATAAAGTGTACGTGTCAGTGTGTATGTACACAAACGTATGCGTACACTCACAAACAAACGTAAAAGTAGCCCTAAGCTGTGTCATTTATTTCTCCTCCAGCGTGAATGTCTTAGAAACCTTTCTCCTTTGCAGATACTCTTCTATATTTCCCTTCTACTTAGAGGCCTGTGTCTGGTTTTTTTAATCCTATTTGAGAACCACATGTAGTTGCGATTAATGTTGTTCTGTTGTTCTTAGCTGGAGGAATAAATCCTAACGACCTGCCTCTGAAGAGACAAATATCAGACTCCAGACTCTGAAAAGGCATCAGAAGGCAGGACTCATTCTCGTGAAGTACTGGGGTTGTCCGTCTTCGGTATTCCCACATGCCTTGAAGGATCCTGTGCCAGGAAACAGTCTTTGAGCAGATACTCCCAAGGGAAGCAGGCCACAACTGGGGACCTTTCAGCGGGTTGAAGGCAATAGTTTTCCTGCAGGACACTGAATCCTGTGTTACTCCTTGAAATGACAAAAGGAAAAAAAAAAAAAAAAAAGGCAAAAAAAAGATGTCAGCCCTCATCAGAGGAAGAATTACCAGCATTGATGCCTGTGTTCTGTATTTCTAAAGGCAGGTGTGTGGAGCTGTTTGGTAGCAGCACAGAAAGAGCATCCATTCTTCAGCTTGCTAACATTTGTAAGGCTGACATCTTATGCATCCTTTAGAATTTTTTCTCCGCTATCTATTCTCTTTAAGTGCAGGGATCCCTGGTACCAATATCCTGGTCCAAGTTTAGCATAGTTCGTAACTACTATCATCCATTCCTTGTCACTGACGCATGTCTTTATACCAAGGAGCAGAACGCTTGACTAACCCGGTGTTGGGTTAGGACACAGGACACTTTTCAGTTCCATCTGTAACTACTCTTTGTGAACTCATGTAATTGTTCCAAGATGACGACCAGGTCCAAGGTTGCCGTAGACATTTAACCCTTTATCGTAACAACTCCAGTTGCGCTAGTCCTTGTGATACCAACATAACAGTTGTTCCACAGTCCTTCAAACTAGCTGTCCTTTTGCCCCTGACAAAGGTGCTGAATACAGGGATAAATCCTAAGGTTTGAGGCATGTGCCTTTTGAATTATATCTCATTTTGTTTTTCTGGAATTCTCCCCATCACTTTTTATTTTATCCCCCCCCCAAAAAAAAAAAAGACGACTGGTATGTCGGCTTTCTTCTGCCAACTCTTTAGGACTCTCTGGTAGAAGTGATCAGGTGATCTTTTCAGAATAGCTTCTCTAACTTCTTTCTTTATTAGAGATCGGAAGCATTTTCGTCTTCATGCGCTGTGACAAGCCAGCTTTATTGTGAACACAAAACAATACATATTGGAACACATCTGCATAACCTTAATTTTATCAGCTGTCTTGCATTGGGTTAAACTGTTGCTAGAAGTTCTTTGTTCCTACTCTGGATATGGATTTTTTTTCCTGATGTCTTTTACTTCTCTTATAGCTGCGTAAAATGGAAATTTAATTTCTACTTACTGTATGTTACTTTTATGGCAGTTATGCTCGAGACGGAAAGAACTAGCTTTGGTTGTTAGATCCGAGAGGAAGATGGTGTTAGTAGTTAGGGAAGAGACGAAACTGAGCTTAGATTTTGAAGTTGTGCTGGAATCAGCAGAACTTCACCAAGGACTTTTTCAGTCTTTTTTTGTTTTTTTTCCAGAATATTTTAAGTAAGTGCTCAGAAATCTGGGCAGTTAAAAGCTTAGGCCTGGATGAGGGACCTGCGTTAAGTGTGAAGATTCAAGAAGGTACATAATCTTTGCATTCCTTCCTGGCGATATACCCTTCTTTTGACATGGTGTATTTTAAAGCAGAAGACTGAAAATGTAACTTACAAGATTGCTCATATTTAACTGTTTTTAATAATCTTGCAGGGGGGAGCCTAAAACGTGGTATGGAGCCCCAGGGTATGCAGCTGAACAGCTGGAGGATGTAATGAAGAAGCTTGCTCCAGAGCTATTTGAATCTCAGCCAGATCTCTTGCACCAACTTGTCACCATAATGAACCCGAATACTTTGATGGCCCACGGAGTACCTGTATGTTGTTGGACTCCTGTGCTACTCCCCCAAACCCAACCCTCTTTCATTTGCAATGACTTCTACTTCAAATTTGATAATTGCAACCACTTTTATTACAGAGATGTTGTAGTAGTTTCCATGTGTGTTGTATCTTTCTGGTCTAGTATTATGTGCCAGTTTGAACAGATGGGCAATGGAATCATTGCTTTTGGAATTACTTGGAAAACTCTTCTCTGGAGACCCACCTTAGTATATTTCTATTTCTGTATCTCATATGAAAAGTTTAGCCACGAACTTTGAAACAATGGCAGGAGCTCTTCATGTGCCTGTTTAATCAGACACAATTTTTTTTGCATAGAGTTTCTGGCAAGGGGCCAAAACCCATTCTTCCTTTATGTGTCATCCACATCCTCTTATTTTTCCTCTGACCTGGATAAGTTCTTAGCTATTTAAAAACATTTTTCATCAGTTTCCATCATATTCCATATTAAACTTTTCATGGGAATTATGTCCCTTTACAACTTAATTAGCTTTTGATTAGCTGACCTTGGGACTTAAAGGAAAATCTGGAGAAAATGGCACGATTTATGGTGCCTACTGGGCTTTGAGAGACTCCAAAATTTAAAGATGCAGGAAGACCTGCCTGCTCTAATACTGGCTATCTGGTACCAAAAGCGTTAGATTTTCAGCAGTTAGAACTTTTGTATAGGTTCCAAAATTCTCTCCCCCTTCAGCTACCTGTCGAAGAGAGTCTCGCCTGTGCTTTACCAGTGTAGCTGTTAACAGAGCTAGCAAAGTGCAAAAGGCATAGACAGCTGACTTGCAGTCTCCTAGAGTGTAGTTATGGCTGAATGAAATGCCTTTACTTTCTAGGATTTTACATGATAAATTACTGAATGCCAATTATAATTCTTGGGCTTATGTTTTAAAGCTATCCAGAGTTACCATGGAAGTTACTGGGATTTGGAAATCTATATTCTCTTCCAGCTTTGAAGATTTCAGCCTTCAGTTCTGTTTAGATTTGACCTAATATCTGTCTGTCTTTTTCTCTTAGGTTTATCGAACCAATCAGTGTGCTGGAGAATTTGTCATCACTTTTCCAAGAGCTTATCACAGTGGCTTCAATCAGGGTTTCAATTTTGCTGAAGCTGTGAACTTCTGCACAGTTGACTGGGTATGTTCTGCAAACATTTTTTCATAATGCATAATGTATGCAGTTTCAAAATCGTTCCTGGCTGATGTACAACTGCAGTGTTTTACTGCTGATGCACAAGTGTAGTGCACAGATCGGAGAGAGCCTGATATTAGTAGCATAGTGTCTTGCTGGAGATATTTCTCTAATGCACTGAGCTGTGGGTTTTCTCTGGTTATTAAGATTCAGTCTGCAAAGTAAGTTATAAGTTAAGGTTGATGTAACTTTTACAGCAGGAGGTAGGCAAGATCTTGGGCATGTCTAGAATATGAGGAGCACCAGCACTGCTTGAAACTGCTCTTTTTGTGTCCCCAAATTCCATTCGTATCCTAAGATCTTTGTAAGCCTGAATGAAGTTTGCCTACTGATTGCACTGAGAATTCTCTAATGGATGCTTTTTACAGCTGAAAAACAAAGCAAACCTTTCCAGATTCTTATATTTTAGCTTCTATGATTGGATGATGATCTAAATTGGATGATAACATACGTTAAGAACAGTTAAAGGCTTTGATGGTCCTCTTGGAAAGAATACGTAGAAAAATCACTTCTGACTGTGAATATGTCCTCTTGGATAGGACAGCTGCTGTATATTTTTAGAGAAGAATAACTCTGTGAGAAGAGAACAAAAAATGTTAGTATTCAAAGAAAAGGTTTGTATGTCGGCACTTTATTCCTAAAAAGTTTCCATCAACTCATTGAAACAGCAGATACAGGCACACATTACAATGTTAGGCAATAGTAATTTATTAATATTTTTATCTTTTTTTTTTTTTTGTAAGTGAAAATGGGGAATAGTTCCTCCAAGAAGTTAAAAGTAATCATTTCTCCTTCCCAGCAGATTTCTCAGATGCACCGTGTTGCCTAATCTCATAACAGTCCTTTGAGGCTCCTGATATTTCAGATGACTCCTCTTCTGTTTTTTTTCCAAAATGGACTTAGCTATTTGTGAATGTAGCCTATCTAAAATGCTGCTAGATTTAAAAAAAAAAAAAAAATCATTTAGAAGTAGGAGGAGACCAGAACTGGAAGAAAGTTTTCTGCATTGTGATAGTATTAGCGTATCAGTTAATCTTGAGGTTTGATTTGGTTTTATTTTTTCTCTTGCACTTCTGTGAGTTTCATACAGAACCATAACATGTAACTTCATTGTTAGCAGGGCAACAGGGTCCGCCTGAATTAGCAGACAGCTTTGAAATAAAGTTTTGAGTATCCTGCCCAGCTCTCCTTAACTGAAGGACTGCCTGGGATTAGTTAGGGACTTGCATTGATTATAGAGTCAGCAATTTCCCATGCTGCAGCACAGTTCATGTCCTATATTAAAAAAAAAAAATAAGTCATATGGTTTGAGACAAGGTTCAGCTTGCCCAGGATCCTGTCTTTGACAGAGTATCTCGAGAATGGTAAGAACAGGGCAAGTGTATATACTCTTCCCATTGGTGCTGCCTTAGCCTCCACCTGTTCTCAGCCTGGGTCTTTCTTATCATTTAGTTACCCCTAATGACTGTTTCTTCCAGATACTTCTGTGTTTTCCCCTGGAGCCTACCTAAACTTATTGCATCCATAACGGCTCTTGTTAAGGAGTTGTAAGTGGTCTAGGTTTAAAAGAACTCACTGAGGGTCTTGATTTCTCTGTAGTTTTATATTCTGAATTATGAATGTTGTTCCTAGAAAGATTTATCTTGGCTTTCATTTGGACAGTCTTTGGTTAACAGCATAACAATTCAGTATGTTAACATAATTTCCATACTGAAGTCAACTTTTTTTACGGTTTTCAATGCAGTTACCGTTGGGTCGCCAATGCGTGGAACATTATCGTCTGCTAAACCGTTACTGTGTGTTTTCTCATGATGAGATGATATGTAAAATGGCTTCCAAAGCAGATGTTCTTGATGTTGTGGTAGCATCTACTGTTCAGAAAGACATGGCGATTATGATTGAAGATGAGAAGAAGTTGCGTGAGAGGGTTCATAAACTGGTGAGTTCTAGGAAATAAAATTATAATGAATGAAGGAACATTGAAACAATGGTGTGAAATACACTCTGGGACTTTGTAATGTGTTGCCAACAGTTTAGAGCTATATAGTGCCTTCCTGAGTTGTGCTGGTTTTCAAAGGCCTATTGGGTAAAGAATCATTCATCATGAATCTTGTTTTAGCATCTGTCTTTAATATTGTTCAAATGTCTCTCTTAAAGTAGTATGTTTTATGTTGTTTCAGGAGTTTGATTGAGAATAGCTGATTTTTCATTCTCCAAGGTTTCTGTCTACTGGTTTTGGTATCTTATTTCTAAACTGTATTATTTCTGTGCTAAATTTAGCTTCTGATGTTTTACCTTGGGCAAATCACCTGTTTGTTAGACTTTGAAGTGATGTAGGGTTCTCTTTTGCAGGGAGTGACTGACTCAGAGCAAGTGGCTTTTGAGTTGTTTCCTGATGATGAGCGACAGTGTTTAAAGTGTAAAACCACTTGTTTCATGTCTGCTGTTTATTGTTCATGTAAACCTGGGTTACTTGTATGCCTGTATCATGTAGAAGATCTCTGTTCCTGTCCCACCTACAAATATAAGTTGGGGTAAGTTGTAGATAGCAAATAATACTATATTCTGGAGATATTTGTTATGTATGTAGCTATTGCAGTTGGATAATCTAGTGACTTAGTCTGTTTTGCCAGGCCAGTGATGCTAGCCTCAGCATTCTGTTTCTCCACAGTCTTCTGCAAATACAGTGCCCCCAAGACAAAGTGCACTTTCTGTGCTCATATACAAAGACTCTTTCTTTTCAGCATTCAGCTCTTCTTGGTGATATTGCTGTATAAATTAGTTTGCTTGCTTTATTTATTGCAACAAAGTCATCTTCCCCTTCATTACTCTTGCCTTCGCTGAGTAATCTTTTTTTGCTTTTGTTAGCTTTGCTTTCTGCTGTCATCTTTCCTTCCCCGTGGTTTGTTACGTGTTTATCCTATATTAATGTAGCTTGTGTGTTTTTTGAAGCAATGGTAACTTTGAAATTGTCTTGGAAATTGTCCTAATTAATATGAACCAGGTGAATAGTAGAACGTTTCCGTATTATATGGACCCGTATATCTTGACACCTCCCCTTCCACCGTGAAGGTTGAATTCTGTGCTACCTCTAGGTACCGGTACGTTCTGGAGGATCTCTATCCAATGATGAATGCGCTGAAGTTGCGTGCAGAATCATACAACGAATGGGCTTCCAATGTTAATGAAGCTTTGGAGGCAAAAATTAACAATAAAAGAAGTAAGTGTCTTACGTGTTGTCTGCAATACGTGATTAAAAATGACTAATTTTTCAGCTTACAATTTATGAACCTTACCAACTTTTGTCTTGCACGCTTATGTGACAGTCAAAAGAGATTATATATAATTTCCTGTTTTAAGGTAAATATTTTAGTTGTAGTCATTTTTGAAATTATGATAAGCAGTCTCTGTGTGAGAAGATTGTAATTCACTTTTCTTCAAAACAAAATATAACTAGCATCGAAATAGAAACACATTTAACATGTTATATTATTCTACCTTGTTACTTAAAATCCAGAGGGGGACTTCTGTTAACATAGTATCTTTCCCAAAAGGTCTCATCAGTTTTAAAGCTTTGATAGAAGAATCAGAAATGAAAAAGTTTCCGGACAATGATCTACTGCGACACCTCAGACTAGTTACGCAGGATGCAGATAAATGTGCTTCAGTTGCACAGCAGCTTCTTAATGGCAAAAGACAAACCAGGTAAATGTTACTGTACGGGTCTGTAACAATTCTGAATCACTGAAGGGTAGATGCCAGCGTTCTGTAAGACTTACAAAATGAAGACAATCTTTTTGTCTTCTCAAGAGAGCCACCTTTAATGTGGAAATTCACCTTTTTTCAATGTAATAAGTCAAACTGTCAATAAGCTTTCATTCACCTCTTCCTTTTTGTTTGACAGTTGGGCAGTAAATTTGTTCTAACGTTCCCTGAAAGGAAAAATCGGTGTGGTATTTCTAGACAAAGCAACTGCCAGCAAGATAGAGTCCCCTTGTCTCTGTCCCATGGTGCCAAAAGTCTGCCAGTGGTCCATGCGTCATTGTATTTGTTACAGCCTGTGCCTTGTGGAAAAACAATGTAGTATATGTCAGTGTAGTTGCTGTTTGTCCTGGTATAGCTGCACGCGTATGGTTTCTGCGTGTTGCCTACCTCACACATGGTAGCTTGTCACTCTCTGTGTTCTTCCAGTTGTTTAAAGACTGACTTTAAAGGACTTTGCCAGCAAAACATTCAACTGCTATTTGGCCTTCCTTCTTGTAGCTTGCATCTTTCCTTTTAGCTAATTATCTTTGGATCGGTCTTTGCAGCAAGGACTTGATTCTTGCTAAAAATTTATCCTCACTGTCTTGCATACACAAGAGGATAAAGCCCCTGTCACATCAACAGTAAAATATTGTAACATGAAATGAAAAATTTAACATTCCAGCAGATGTGATTTTTGCTAGACAGATAATTTCTAACCCTGAGGTTTGTGGCATTGTTACCAAAGTATACTTACCTACTCCTAGTCTCTTCCTTCTTTTAGCCTTGAGCCAGTTCTCATTCTGGCATTCCTAGTCAGTGTGTTCTCCCAACCAGATCTTATTGTTTGCTCAGTGTTCCTGATGATGGACTTCGAGCCCCAGCCAGGCCCTTTCCAGCTGCTCCATAGGAGCTCTTTGAAGGGTCTTTTCTGCTCTTAAGGTCTCTCCAAGTTTGCTTGGCCTGGAAAGAGGGGTAGTGATTTTGTTTTCATCTCCTTGACCAGATCTGTTCTTTTGTCACTGTGATACTGTAGCAGCCTTTCTCATAGATATGTTGGCCAGCTCCTTCAACGTTGCAGACTGTCCTCCCATTACACAGTCCTCCCGGTGTAACGCTGCACAGAATCAAGTCAGTGCTTGCATTGCGTTGCTGATTTGCTCTAAAAAGCCAGTCCATTTCTCCCTTGATCTTTTTGTGCAGTATTCCTGGGACAAGTCCAGTTGCATGTCTTCAAAGTCAAAAGTTTTAAAATCCAATGTTATTGAATGGATTTTTTTCCTAAAAGATTGGGGAAGGGAGTATTGGTAGCCTATGTGGGAAGATACAGAAGAGAGACTAATCTGCTGCTTCAGGCAGCCCCCATCACACTGACTGTTGTGTGCCGATTACAGAGGATTGCTGATCCTACCTAAAGTTTGGTTCATATTTTTGACATTCTTTTGTATGAACTGAGTATATTATTCTGATCTTTAGTTTGGAAGAGTCATATAGCAAACTTAACTGGAAATGTTATCCCTGTTGATCATGTGGCCAGTGCTACTCAGGGATCTCCTCCTATGTAGTATATACAACAGTTCTTGGAGAGAGAAAGACCAAGATATGACAAATATTCTCTGAGAGTAAATCCTGTGATTCTTGCTCATCACCTTCTTTATCTGAAGTACTTGAAGAAATGCAGATGGGCTGTACTTCCCTATTTGCTTTAATTCTTATGATGATGGGGGATCAAGCAGTAGATACTGTTTTGAAGATTGTTCTGTGAACAGCCCTCTGAATGGGGCCAAGGGACAGCATAGCCGTCCTTCCTGTCTGACATTACTATGTAGGTGATATTGGGAGGGGAAAGTATGACAGTAGAGCAAGTACAAAGTGATGCTCTCACTATACGTCTCCCGCCTCCCCCAGGGCTCACGATACCTTTGCTGCCTCTTAAAGTCTCCAGGAGTTCAGAGACCTTGTACATCCTTTTGTTTAATAACCTGGATGGACTTGGGCTCTTCTTAAATGCTTTTTTTAACTTATGTATTCTCTTGTTACCAAAAACATACTATGACGGTCAGGTCTGCAGTTTAGTTTTGTGTTTTATATGTGTTTACACACACACACACACATACAGTACATACAGTACACACATATATAAATTTATATATTTATATATTTATTTACACACACATATTTACACACATGTATGTATGAACTTTTTCAAGCTTTTGCCCGTTTTGTGGGAGCTACTGCAGAACATGCACAAATAGAAGTAGAGCACTGTAGACCTTAAAACAGCCTATATTGTACGTGGGACTGTGACTTCATTTTATTGCCTCTTATTCAGCTTACTAGGGATTTTGAAACTCCCAATGTGATTTTTTTTGTATGCGTGTCCTTTAAATATACATATTTTTAACACAGAATGGTAAAATTAATACCTTGCTTTATAGTGTTTGCATTCCAGTCATGCAAGCGTATCCTACTGGGATGTTGTTTTCCTCTTTTATTTAAACGGCATATTGTGGATTAAATTGAAGCCAGCATTGTAAGAGGTTTCTTCCCTTTTCTGTTCAGGGTACTCAGACCTAGTTAACATTGGCTTGAGTTTAGAGAGGTTTTTAATGCTAGTCAGTTTAGTAACTCTTATAAGCCACTCATATGGTATGAAGCTTTTAGATAAAAATGAAAATGATGATTTCAGCACAGAGAGGATTTTTCAGAAGTGCCTACATGACCTGTGAGTATAAATCCCATTCGAAATTGGGATTTGTTCTCTTTTGGTATGGGCATGGGGAGAGACTTGACTACAATAGCTATTGCAACATAACTGAATAGTTTGTCCACAGTTGCTTTGTGTTCTGGAAAAAAAAAGTCTGATTTTATTCCGTAATAACTAGTGTGCTTCCAAAGCTGAGTAGTTGTTCCAGTATATTATTTAATATGGAAGAGTTTTTTCAACAATAATTTATTCTGCTATAGCTAGCTTGGTTTTGCCACCTATGTAAGCCCTCGGCTGCTTGGATACTTTTGAATATTGTGTTATCTCTGAGTAAAGTTTGAGTTACAAGAAATCATAAGCAGATCTTTGAGAAGTTTGGATTTTGTTTTAGTGGCACCCAGCAAAGCTGAATTGTGTGTAATTGCAGGTACCGCTCTGGCGGAGGAAAATCTCAGAATCAGCTGACTGTGAATGAGCTGCGGTTGTTTGTAAGACAGCTGTATGCTCTACCCTGTGTCCTCAGTCAGACACCATTACTGAAGGTAACTTGGAAAATTCTAGGTGAACAAACTTGAGCATATGTCATAGTGATGTATTTGTACTTCCTTAATCTGCTATCATACTATTTGCCCCAAGAATAAATACTTTTAAATTAGCAGGCCTAGATAGCTTGTACTCATGAGTTACTAAAGAACTGAGATCTCTGGCCCAGTGGTTTTTGTTGTCAGTAGATTTTATACTACGTGGGGGAATTAAAATCTTAGTATCGTACAAAGTAATGCAAAAGAAATAGCAGAACGACCTGGGTAACTACAGATCAAAAGTTTGGGGTCGGTTAACTAGTCTCCTCTTAAGAGCAAAGTCAGTTTTGTCTGAGAATGTTCAAAATGCAATAATGGTCTGAGTGACAGTTCTCACATTCATATCACTTTGTCTTCTTTGATTTAATCCGGTATCAGCTTTCTCATAGTCTTGTAAGTAGCTAACTCCTTGTGGTATCAACCCATATTCCAGGAAACGATACAGGGAATCCTTGCCAAAGCTACTAACCCAGGCTACCTAAATGCCTGTTGTAAGTGTATCTGCTGCTGAAGTTGTGCAATTTCACTAGAGGTGTCTCCCATGACCATCGACTAGTGCTCTTTATTCACCGTCTACTCACCAGATGGATCAGTCCTCAAACAAGTTGAAAGTATTTCAGGATTTGATTTCAGTACTTGCCAAAGTGTTGTATATCCCACGGAGGGATAGTTGAAGAAAAGGAACGTAACCTCTGAGTAGCTGCAGCTCCTGTCTTAAAGAAGGATGTCTTTACATATTGGAGACTCTTAAAACCAAGAAGTGCAGTGGCATGCTCCTGAAACCATCTCTTCAGTGTCCATGGACGCAAAGCTGAGGGACCAGATGGTATCGTGTAGATACTAGCTTGAATAGCAATAAAAGTCTGGAGAACCAGTTCAGCCTAGCTTTATGGCTATAGTTGCTGAAGCTCTAACAAGTCTAGAACACATGATTCAGATTCTCTATAATCCTATTCACAGAGTTACAATGCTATATATAAACAAATAATTGTAAAGTTATCTCGCTGTTTAAAAAGGGGAAGTTCAGAAATGCCAGACAGGCAAACAGTTCTTCTTATCCATCTGGCATTCTTGAGCAGGGAAGTATCAAAGGCATATGGTCAGGCTATTCTTCTATATCATTCTCAACAATCCTAAATTAAGCATAGTTGTACAAATTAAGCTGCTAACATAAATGACCAACAGTTACTGGAGGTTGGTTCATGATTTAATATCTCTGTAAAAAGGCTTTATTCCCATCATGGGTGAGACTGCCTACCAGCAAACAGCCTCACTGGCAAAATACCAAGAGCTGTGAAAGAAGAGCTTGCTGTTAAAATGGCGTTTTGGGTGGAACTAGAAGCATTCAGCATGATAGCTAGATACATAATAATTCCAGCCTTGCCAGTGAGATTAGTCAGGCTAATTGTACAGCATCGTAGGTGAAGTGCAAACAGCCACAGATTTACCTTTTGGGGATAATTAGCTACTGAACATATGGAGAGAGATAAGGTGTTGCATTGTCTGAAAGAGTAAAATGTGGTCTTTGGCTTCCTGGAATTGTGTGTTCCAGCTCAAAAACCCCAACAACGCAGCAGTCCCCCTTCAGAAATGAGCCACAGCAGCTTCAGGCCCTTCCTAGCATTCTTAAAAGCAGTTTTTTCAGTGATGTTCTTCGGCTTTCTTCCTTAACGATTTCAAAACAAGGCCAGAAAACAGTGCTGATGGAACATTTAATGTTCCTGTAGATCTTTTTTGTTCTTCTGAATTTGACATCTCTTTTTTGCTTCAAAGGAGTTTTGAGTGGGATTATTTTGTATTGTGGATCTTTGAGCTAGTGGATGACATTACGTACGAGGAGATGCTAGGAAGCTGGGTTTATTCAGCATGGAGAGGAGAGGGCCGAGGGTGTGGAGGGTGGTTCTGCTTGCTGATTTCACCCACCTGAAGGGATGCTTTAAGAAAGGTGGAGTTAGACTCTTTTTGGAGGTACACAATGAAAGAATAAGAGGCAATGATCAAAAGTTATAGTGAGGGAAATTCCAGCTAGATATAAAGAAAAAATTATTTGCAACATGGATGGTCAAACACTGAAGCAGAGGCCTAGGGAGGCTGGGGACTTTCTATCCTTCAGTGGATTGAGTCTTGAAGAACCTGATACAAGTCTGAAGTTGGCCCTGCTCTTAGCAGGAGTTAGAATTAAACACGTTCACAGAATTCTTCCAACCGGAATGTAATTCCACATATCGTAATTCCACATTTGAGGGTGACAGAGCACTGGAACAGGTTGCCCAGAGAGGTTGTGGAGTCTCTGCCCTTGTTGATGCTCAAAAGCCATCTGGACACAATCCTGGGCAACGTGCTCTAGGTGTGTCTGCTCGAGCAGGAGGGTTGGACTAGGTGATCTCTGGAGGTCCCTTCCAACCTCAACCATTCTGTGATATTCTCCCCTACCATTTAGTGTGTTGTCTGGGTTTTGTAAATTTGAATGCCTCACCCTAGCAGAGTGTCTTTTTTTGCCTGCTCTCTATCCCATGGGATAGTCAAGTGAGAGCATGGTGTACTACAGGAAAATTAGTAGTGTTTCTGGCATCTTGCAGTACTGCAGCAGGTAGGACTTGAGAAGCCAGGCAGGTAAGGGCACCGAGATAGTGTTTGAGCTAAGGGGGAGAACTTTGGGGAGAACTGAATGTCTGGAAGCCAGACAAGTGATTTAATTGGCTTTTCACTTCACCTTGTACAGAGTAAACCAAAGACCATCACAGCAGCATTTTTTTTCTTACACTGGCTAGAACCGAACTATTAGGACTTCTCTGAAATCTTGTTTGGATATCTGCTTTATTTTGATGATACACTCTTTAAACATTTTAAATTTCATAACAGTTTGACTTTCACACTGTGTGCATTGCAACATGGTGTTTGCCAGGAAGCTTACTAGTAACGTTGAGAAGTTTAAGAGATTTGACAGTGGGTCGTCGTCTTCTGTTTTAGTGTTGCGTTTGTTTGTTTCAGGATCTTCTTGATCGCGTGGAAGCTTTCCAACAACATAGCCAAAAACTCCTCTCTGAAGAAATGCCTAGCGCTGCAGAACTTCAGGAGCTGTTAGATGTCAGCTTTGACTTTGATGTTGATCTTCCCCAACTTGCTGAACTGCGGATACGTCTGGAACAGGCGCGCTGGCTAGAGGATGTGCAGCTGGCTTCTTCAGACCACAACTCCCTTACTCTAGATGATATGAGGCGTCTTATAGATTCAGGTGTTGGATTGGCTCCCTACCCAGCAGTTGAGAAAGCAATGGCAAAGCTACAAGAGCTCCTTACTGTATCTGAACACTGGGATGACAAAGCCAGAAATCTGTTAAAGGCCAGGTAAAAGCTAAATCTTAGTGCTACCTCTTGCATTTGGGAACCTAAAACAAGCCATTGATGCATGATACTCGCCTGTGACCTTCTACTTTTTTTCCTGGTGGTATATGGTACACAGAGTCTCAACGATCCAATTAAAGGTAGTGTTGCATGAAAATTCTTAATATTAGATGACCATGCTGTTTGTATTTTGTTCAAGAGGGACGGGAAAAAGGAAGAGGGGGAGGTTTAAAAAATAATAATTCTTTTTTAATAATTAAAAAAAAAAGATAAAAGCAGCACGTGATGTATGTAGTCTCAGTATGTCAAACAATGCTTAAGAGCATTAAAAAAGCTGAGATATCAATTTAAACTGTTTGATTTGAGTAACGTTCCCCCAGGAACATGCCCTTTCATGGTAGTTCCATGAGCTGTTTAAGATGGAAATAGCTGCCCTTTTGTTGATCCACTTCACCATATGAAGGCAAATGCTTGTGCCATTCTGAAGGGAGCAGGATGGTTGGGGGATGAGAGACTGAGGGAAAGCAAGGCTGCTTCTTTAATCATCAGTGTTGAGCTGCAGTGCTTGTGGTGCTCCAGTATCACTGTGCAAGTCCTCCTTTTGTTACAAGGGAAAGGCTTTAAGACACCTCTTCCTTCCTTTTCACCTTCTTCATTCCTTCAGTGTCAGCAGTATGCGTGTCCAGATGGAGGTCATACAGCCGGCTATATACCACCAGGTGGTAAAACTTTTATTTTATGGACTATTTCTGACATTGAGGAGATTTGTCCAGGTCAGCTTGTGCAGGGAAGGAGGAAGTAAGCCAAATACGTCCTTATTGAGGAAGTGTTGTTCATTGGTTTAACCTTCTGATTTAAAAACTAAAAAGAGGAGGGAACACAGTCTACTTAAAGTTTAGAAAGGTGGCACAAATGTGTATGTCAGATGTCTTACTGCAGGCTTCCTAATATTTTTTCCAGCCTCATAATTACGAAAGCATTTGAGCATTTCTTACCCCTTAATAACAGCTGCGCTATTTTAAAATAGCAACTTCATAAAGCATAAAATTGGAATAAGCTTGGTTTTACCCTCCTGCTCCAAAGTAAAGATGCGGTTGACTTTGTATCTTTTTAAAACATCAGAATCAAATTGTAAAATACAGAAAAGCCACCTCCCCCTTTTTGAACTTTCTAGCGTAGAATCTCTTAGCTGATACCGTTTCGGGGTTCAGTGTGCTTTTGTGAGAATCCAAGGGTCTGTCAAGAGAATTCAGTTCAAAAGTTAGTGAATGTTAAATTTCTCTTAAGCCCAAGTTTGTAAATATTTAGAAATACCACATCCCACCAGGCCATGTTTACTCTCTCTCTTTCTGTTGAATTTGCATTTTACTTTATCGAAAATAAAGAAAAAAATGTTATATAGAAAAGTATAACGGTTTTCTTAATGTTTTTAGTGTTTTCATTACGAGTCTTTCACAAGCAAACACACATTACTCATGCAGTAGTTGTACAGTAAGCATCTCTAGTACTGGACAGAACTGTCTAGTACTGGACAGCATTTGGTGTCACCCTTTGATTTTAATAAGCCAAATTAGTGGAAGACCTCCGAGTACATAGCAGGGTCTTACATTCTGAAATGTTTTATTTGCATAGACCACGGCAGTCCCTGAGCAGTCTCGTAGCAGCAGTGAGAGAGATAGAGGAGATTCCAGCCTATCTCCCAAATGGTGTTGCACTGAAAGACACGGTACAGAAGGCCAAAGATTGGTTGCAAGAAGTGGAAGCGTTGCAGGTAGGTAAAACACGCTGCTTAGATTTCAGTGAGTGATACTAACTACTGTCAGATGAATGCTCTGTTGTGTCGCACTTAGTGCTTCAGTATCCTACTGAATTGAGGATACTTAATCTGTAACAACTATTGCCTTAGGTGTGGGGTAGTTAGACTCTGATGATACTTTTCTGTTTTGGGGCCCGATTTGTATCGCTGCACCTCTGCAATTAACTAATTGCAACAAATCTATACGTGAGCTATTAACAAACCTAAAGTTTAAAAAGTACAGTATTACAGAACTTTACCTTAAGGTAAGTTTTGCAGAGTCACTAGTAATAATGATCGTTTTACCTATTAATCACACTTTTACGTACCGTTCTGCAGCTGAAAGAAAAATACTATCTTTGTAGAATTCTTATAAAGATCAATTTCTTGTTAAATAAGGTTAAATGTTTTGCATGCTGGTAAAAGTCATTTTGCTAAGACTATTCAGCCACTGTCCTAACTTAAAGGAATGTTTCTTATTTTCAGACAGTGTTTTTTTTTTTTAATGACATTAGCGAGCTAAAGAACAACTATATTGTAAAAGATGATCATCACCTTGCTGCACTCCTATAACATACAGCATGGAGCAGGTGACACAATCAAAAGTTCTGCTTGTTGACTCAAGAATAAACAAATCCCCTAAAATGTTTAAAAATCACAGACGATATCTTCTCTCAGCCAATGTGTGCTTGGCTAAGCAAACTGTTTTCTTCCAGCATCTTCTCCAAAAATAGATCATCTTTTTCCTGAGCAGACAAGCGCGATGTCCTTGCATTTTCTCCAGTTTTGAACACACCTTTCTGGAGTGCGGCCAAAGCCATGCTGTACTGTATTGCAAGTGAGGTTTCACCAAGACCTGATATAAACTTAGTTGAAACACCTCTTCTGAGGCACCTTAGAATTGATTTAGTGTTTCCACAGCTACATTGTAGTGATGTTTCAGATACCCTGTATTTAAGAGGTAGTCTCTCATTCGTCCCCTTCATCTCATCTCCCACCTCCTTCCTCCTTCTTTTTTTTTTTTTTTAAAACATATGAGGAGTTCCTGATTTATAGAGAAAATCCTGTTTCTGTTGCTCCAGTCCTAATGGATTAGGTGGTTCTCGTATAATATCCAATTGTCCTCTGTATTAACAGCATCTGCCAAGTTTGTTTCATTGCTTTATTACATTAGAATCAGTTCTTTTTTCTTTGTTGCCAAGATCGCTAATGAAATATTAAGGATGGTCAGTCTCAAGGCCATCCCTTGTTCTCTTGCTGTGTATCAGCCTTAAATTTGACAGATTAAAATACTTGCTACAAAATCTGTAATTTTGTAGTAGTTATGTCAGAAATGTGAGATGGAAATTACTGGGTTTCTTCTTCTTCCTTCCCTCTTCCCTCCCTCCCTCCCTCCCTTCCGTGTTTTGAGGTTTCTTCCAGTTTTGTATGATTTGCATTCTGAAATGTGTCTTCAAATGAGCTGAACGCTGATGGCAGAGAGAGAACATAAGAATCCTTTAAGAACAAAGATGTTTAAAAGTTTTCACTCTGGCAATTCTCACTTTTTTTTCCTCTGGGCAGTTTTCTTTGTGGATCCAGTTTCCTCTCATGTTTTTTTGCTTATTCTACAGCTCAGTGGTAGCTTAATTCTCCTCTCTTCTCACTGCCTATATCCTCTCATGCGTTAGCAGTACTGTTCATGCAGCCAGATGCCATGCTAATTCAAGCCCAAGTGAGAAACTGTAGGCTAGATAGTCTCTCTGAAGTGCTTCACTGCTCAGTCTCACAAGTACTAGTGCAAGAGGCCCCGGGGGACTGCACAAATCAGGAAAGGGTGGGACTGTGACAGCCCTGCCTTAAAATTGTGGCGTAAGTTGACTATTATTTTCATGTTAGTTGTTCTCATATTTTCTCCATAAAGTCAACTCTGACCTGAGTTACTAATATTTTCAGGCCAATTTGACCTCTCCTGGGGTTCTTGCATTGGACTTTCAATAAAATCTTTTAAATGAAAGTGTATTGACTGAAAAATATTTTAGATGTCCTACCTTTTAAAATTTTGAAGGAACAAAATCCACGTAATACTAACTTTTATTTGAGGGTTATCTTGAGAGGGCTTAAGTGAATTGTTCTTGGCCTGCACTGATTTCTTATTTTGGATTCTGATATCCTGCCCACTGAATAAGGAAAAATGTGTCTGTATGTACTAAGTATCTTTGCTTCAAGTCTGTGAGTATTTTAGTAAACGCCTGAAGTCGTTGTGACTTTTAGGATGTTCTTAGTATCTGTGCTTTTGAATTGTGCTTTGATTTTGAGGTTGTCCTGGATGAATCGTTCTTAAATTCAGTCCCAAATCACTACCTATTTTAGAAATTACCTCTCAGTCCTGCCTTACTGCTGGACTTCTTGTAACCATGTCACTTTAAATGAACAGAGGTTCCTTTCAGGGGACACCTTGGATACTTTGGACCGTTCCTTGCTCTTGGTGTGCCAGGGACTGAGTTAGATTTGCTTCTGGGTGTATTTCAAATTAATTTGATTTTGCACTGTGAATGGAAATTGTTAGATTAGTGGTTCGGTATATTGTTGGCAAATTTTTTAAATTGTCATTTGGTAAGTGTTTTCTTGTTAATTCTTGCATTAGTTTTGTCTGTTTGCTTAATGACTGGAGCGTGAAAAGCTCAAATGCCAAAAGAATGGGTACCAAAGTGACTGAAGTGTCCAAATAAACTGTATTTTTGCAAGCTCTACCTTCAGCTAATTTGAATGACTCGAGATTCATAGAGATGGTGCGTCTTACATACATGAAGCGTTTCTTAATTTGTAATCTGACAGGTTGGAGGACGTGTACCTGTGCTAGACACACTTGTGGAACTTGTCACAAGAGGTCGATCTATTCCAGTCCATCTGGACTATTTACCAAGGCTTGAGTCCTTGGTGTCAGAAGTTAAAGCGTGGAAGGAATGTGCAGCTAATACGTTTCTGTATGAGAACTCCCCTTACTCTCTTCTGGAGGTAAGAGATCTTGGCTTTGTAGATCATCATTCATACCATGGCAAAACCAAATCAGAGCTGTGGGTATTAACTCATGAGAGAGCTGTATTTTGACATTAAATATTAAATATATTTTCAAAATATTTTATGATCGTATTACTTATCTTAAATTTATTTCATTTTTATTAGACTGATCTATGCTTTTAATGTTTATTTTGAACGTTCTAAATGGTTAAGATTTAACTACACTTTCTATTTTTTTCTTAATCACTGGCTAATAAGAGAGAATCTTGTGCCACAGTCTGACACTTTTGATATGAATATAGGAATATTGACATATTTGTGTCACTGAATTTACTTTAGTGCATCGGGCTTTAGACTGCAGCAGCTCAAGCGTGGGTTCATATCCGATTCATCCACATCAGCTGTGGTGACAGCAAGGTCTTATGGCTGGGCTGTGATAAGGGTGAGACTGTAGCTGCTTTAGCTGGCCCTCTAAATCTGTTGCTGCATGTATGTCAACACCTGCAGTTCTTCAGCAATTAACGCTTTCTAGCCTGTGCTGAACTTTTGTTTTTTTTTTTTTTTCCCCTCCCCCTTCAAGCCTAGTTTTCTCCCTCAGGAGAGACTGGGGAATGTAATACAGCCTGTGGAATCCTATACTGTTTTCCAAGGCTTGCAGCTTAAATAAAATAGAGGCTATTCAATGCATCAGCAGTTTCTGTATACCAGCAGTCTACATGAAACATGCAGGTGGTTGCAGTCTTTTCCACTTCGTGAAGTTGGTTTTTTAATCTTCCAGCTCTCCTCCTTTTCCAGATAACCTCCTCCACCCACCCCACCCCCCAAAACTTTGATGGGAAAAACTGCAGGAATCCTTGTTCTAAACAGTCATATGTGACTGTGTTAGGGCAGGATGAACGCGTTAAAAATGTTGCAGACAGTACTGCTTTTCTGTCCATTAGGTGTTATGTCCCCGATGTGATATTGGAATGTTGAATCTTAAAAGAAAGCAGAAGAAGTTAAAGGAGCCAATGCCAAGTGGAAAGAAAAAAAGCACTAAGCTAGAGAGTCTGAGTGACTTGGAAAGAGCTCTCTCTGAGAGCAAAGATACTGCATCGGCGGTATGTGATTTAAGTTTGTTTGTTTTTTGAACTGGAATTTCTTCTAAGTTGTTTTCCCTTTGGAACACTGGCTGTGTTTGCCTCTTGTGTGGGAGTGTTATCTTTCACTCTTCTTGCTCTGCTTTTCTTCAGAAGGACTTCTACAGCTGTGCTTTTCTGCCATGTTAAGACTTTTCCGAAACTCATTTAGTAGAAAAATTCTGTGTTGTCTTTGTGCATATGGTAATGTTAAGTTTGCAAGGCCATAGCCATAAGCACAGGAAAGTCAAAAACTGAGAGAGAGTATTTTCCCTCTCCATACTAAAACCTTAGTAAAGACAGTGTTTTCCCAAGTCTGATCCTTTCCCAGAGCTGATAACCCAGTGCCATTTATAATTGAAACAAATGCCATAAATAATTAAAGAAAATCTCATACATTATGAAGTCAGTAAAACGCTAGTTCTGCATGGAGCTAACTTGATCACCGTTTGATGGTAACGTACTTCAGCCCAAAAGACCAAATTCACAGCCTCCACTACAGTCAGATTAAATGATGTCCCGTGAGGAGGTCTGTGGGACAGCAGTAGAGTGGTTTTGTAGGGTGTGAGCATAGTTAACCGTTATATGTGGGATGTTTCAATTCCGACCTGTGGTAACTACTTGAAACCCATATGTTAAAGTCTTAATTTCTGGCCTCTCTTCTCTGTAAATCCAGATTTAGAGACAAAGTACCTAGGAAAGCTGGAAGAGGAGAATGGTCCTAGGAATCATACACCCTCCTTCACTTTGACTAGATAATCTCTCTCGTTGGAAGTCGGGGTGTTGAGATTCACATAGACTTCAACCAGGAAAATAAATATATTTTACTGTGTGAGATTTTGCTTCTGACATGAGGGAAATAAAAATCTTATTTATAGTGGAATCTTTCTGGATGGTGTGTATACTTTTACAACCAAACATTATAGCTGCAATGCTTAGTAGCCTTGTTCATAAAATATTCTAGTATGCTGTGTACAAATCCCACATCTGCCCGCATTGAATGCATTTGTCTAATCTTTGCATAGCGTAGTTTTCTCTAGTCATTACATTTCAAAGCCACGATATGTGACGTAACCATTTTGTATATATGTTTATGCCTGTTACCCTGCATACTCTCCTGTATACGTTTGTTTTTATATATAAAATAAAACCATGGTGAATTTAATAGCTGCAGCTGCAGTTTATAGCCTTTATTAAAAACGGAGGTATATTGCTATCCTTAGTAGTGAACAGTACTGAAGATTCCTGAAAAAGAAACATGAGCAGATGTAAAAAGGGTGAACCACACATTCAGGAGTGAATTTCACTCAGTGCTTACAAACCCCAGATACATAGGTCAGCATATGACCATGTGCATTGGACTGTGCATGTAATGCAGATATAAGAGACACATTTGTATTCCTGAAAACTGCGGAGATGTGTTTTAAGATTAAAAAGAATCAGACGAGATATTTGAGAGGCTTGTTCATGCAGAAGCATCTGTAAGCCCTATCTGCTCTTAATTCAGAATGTAGTTGTTTTAACGCAGGTAATATTTTTGTAGTACGAAACGAGAAGGATTTGGAAAAAAGAGGAAGGGAGTAGCAAGATTATTTTTGCAAGGGAATCAGCTTTACATCTCTGGGCCTCATGAGACAACGGAAGAAAATTGTGAAGCCAGATCACTGTACATCCTCCTAACTGCTTCACTCCAACCATTCAAAGCTTTGAAGGGAGGCATGCAAGGGTGATGAACTCTTCAAACATTTGAAATACTTGCTAGCACATCTCAAGAGTGTGATTGTGCAGAGGTCACTGAGTTTCTAATGAGTGACGTTACTTTAGAAATAATCATCCAGAAATTACATCCTTTTTTTGAATTCCCTTGTAGATGGCTACGCTTGGGGAAGCCCGATTAAAGGAGATGGAAGCGTTGCGTTCTCTCCGAGCAGCAAATGAAGTAAAGGCGCTGTCTAATGAAGAGGATGCAGAAATGCGAGTCTGTCTATGCCAGAAAGAGCCGGCTGCTCCAATGATACAGTGTGAACTCTGCAGAGGGTTCTTTCATACCAGCTGTGTTTCAGTGCCCAACACTTTGCAGGGACCTCGTGTGTGGCTCTGTCCACACTGTCATCGATCAGAAAAGCCACCTTTAGAGAAAATCCTACCATTGCTGGCCTCCTTGCAGCGTATTCGTGTAAGGCTTCCTGAGGGGGATGCTTTACGGTATATGATAGAGAGAACTGTGAACTGGCAGCACAGAGCACAACAAATGTTATATTCAGGGAATCTAAAATTCATACAAGACAAAGTTGGCTCAGGATTATTGTACAACAGATGGCAAGCCACAGCAGGCCAATTGCCAGAGACAAATAAGGTAAGCCTGGGTTACTTAATGGATTTCCTGGTTGTGGGTGGTATGTGGTCAGCAAGAACAGTCTGTAACACCTCTCTGGTTTTTGGGTCTTGCTTAAGCCACTTAATTATTCATACAGCATCTGCATACCAATTCTGGCAAGGCAGATTGTTTATGTATTGCTTTACAGATATAAAGGATTAGGGTTCTGCCTTGTCAGTTAGCCAGGACATGTGTCCTCCAACAATAATGTAGTGTTCTCTTTCTGCTGGAGTTCTGAGAACAATTACTCCTACAGGGCCTATTTTCCCTTCTTCTCTTCCCAGTTCCTATTTTCTAACATGACACTACTAATGACAGAGTTGCTGAAGCTATTGTTTCTAAGAGTGCTCAATATTCAGTTAGTCTTTATATTCTTTACTTACAAGTATTTCAATGTAATCGTAAATGTTGAGAACTGGTAACAGAGGAAAAATGTTCATGCGCTACAAGCGTAGCTCACAGGTAAGATTGTTTTGAGCGGGGCGCCTTCATCCATTGCAGCTCCTTTTCCTTTTTCCTACAGTAAAACTCTCAGGCTAAATCTTGTGCTATTACTCCTCTAAGCTGCAAGGAGATGTGTTAGGTGTGATCTTGAGGGAGTTTCAGACTTCCTCAAGAAAAGAGATCTTTCAGCAAAAATGGCAGGGGAGTTGGGAACTGGGTTAAATATATCCTGAGATAATAAATGGAGGAAAAATATGAAATAACAGGTCTGTGCAGCATAAAGAATATAAAATGCCCCAAAGTGGAACGCTCTCCATGGCTTTCAGTTTTTGATTGAAACACCTTACTTCTGCTAGTCCAACCTTGTTAAATATAGTGTGTGCGTGTTTGTGTTTTCATGCTCAGTTATGTTAAAACAAAAAATGTGCCATGCATGCTTGAAGACATGTTGTAGCTGCTTGGTCCTTGGATAACTTGCCTGTACCAACTTGCTTGTGTAGGCCAAATTGTTCAAACAGGCAAGCCTAATTTTAGAAATTCAAATCTGTATTTAGGTACCTAAGAGAATGTCTCAGATGATTTAGGTTTGGAAGTATCTTTTTACTAGACCGACTAGTATACTTGAAAAAACTGGATAAGACTTTGCACATATAAGCTGATGTTTGGGTCAAAAATAGAAACAATAAGCTTCAAAGCTAAATACAGTATAGATAACTTAAGCAGTCTGTTATAACTGGGCAGCTTATTCACTTTGTGAATTAACTGTGCTGTTGATCTAGAGACAAAAAAAAACCCTTATTTTGTGCAGGGATAGCATAGATCTATCAGCATGGTACCACACAAATGCAACTGTAACTCCTGAGAGCTAAAAGCAGTATAACTCTTTTGTGTGGTCTATAACTGTTTTATGTGGTCAGGAGCTCATATTAGTAAAACCTGCTAAATCAAGGTAACTGTAGCAGTTCAAATATCCTTGTGACCACAGTTCCCAATTGAGAAGTTCTTGGGAAGCTCAGTGATGACTGCATGAGTCAGCTTGGGTCCCTCACTGGGCCTGAGCTAATAAGCCTTCCTGGAGCCAGTAATACTGAGGGCAGTTCAGAGATACCCTGCTGGAGGCAGCTCAGTAAAGGCTCTGAGCCAGAACTGAAGTCTAGGTGGACTCGGGCTTTTTTTTTGTCCTGTGAATCGAGTGTCTCAGCATCACTCTCATGTCCTGCAGCAGTCATGTTTTTCTTGTTATCCAGAGTAATTCAATCTCTCATTCCCCCAGAGAAACTCATAACAGTAACCACTGGAGTTGGGCTGCTTTGGCAGTAGGCGAAGTGAAGATGGGGAGCATTTAGCTGAGTTTGAAAAATTCAGTTGAAGAACAGCTGTGAGCAATTGATGAAAGCCAGATCTTGAAAGGGGCCCAGACACTTCAGTATTGAGATAGACAATATTTTGAAAGGCATATGGTGAGATTTTGACAAGTAGTTCAGGAATTTAGGGACCAGCTGCCATTGACCTTAGAATAGGCACCTACTATAGCTAAGCTTATTTAGATTGAGCTATTCTGAATACAGCAGATTGGGGTTAAACGGTTACCCACTATGCAGTCTACCTCCAGTTACTCATTCCCTCCCTTCTATGGGAAATTATCACCAACTCAGCTCTGCTGGTTTAGAGACTAACCTGATTGAAGAGATTACCTGAACCACTTGACAGAAGTGGATTGGAATGAAGGTGTTGATAATTTCTAGCAGGGGGGAAGAAAGTAAGGATAGCATGTGGAAACAAGTAGCTGATGACAGGCATTATATGGATATGCTGCAGCTGGAGTAATTCATCTGACTCTGTCTTATGTTTCAAAAGTGCCTTTCTGATGCTTTTTGAGTCCAAAACTGGCATTTGCTATCTTGCACTAGTAGCCTTTGCACAAATGAATGCACGTTTCACCGTTGGCATGTCTTCTGTGCGTGCTGATCTAACAAAATGCGCTTCAAAACAGTTTGGTGTGTCGTCAGATCAAGACAGATCATTTGGTGTGAGAAATCACTTTGTCGTCGTACAAAACAAAAGGAGGAAACTGTAGACTCTACACTGGGTCAGTTCTAGAGCCGAAGATCATGCTTCCACAAATAAATAAAGTGACTATGTGTTGTCTCTACTGTACTCTATAAGCCTGTTCTCATCTGAACAAGCTGCTGCTCGTTGCTAGAAGATGCTGCTGCATGCACAAGGTCTAGTTTCTGGTGTTTGTGGAAACCACGATTCACAGCTAAGAATTTTGGCCGTAAGGTTGCTATTGCTTATTTCCAGGTTTAGGATGAAAGGACGTATGTGGATTAGAGTGAATGCATTACCATAACAGAAGTTTAAGCAGTTCTGTGAGAAATGAGTTCTGATTCTATTGCAGCTGTTTGACATTTTTAAATGAAATATGGAGTGAAAAAAACTATGCATTATGTTTTATTTTTTTCTAGGTTTCCCAGACAATTGGAGCTATGTCTTTCTCCATGCCTCGTGACTGGGATAATAGAACCATATACTTACATTCTTCTTTTTCTACAGGACAGCACTGCATCCCCCTTCATGGTTTGTAATCTTCCACTTGATTTTTCTGTCTTTGGCATGGGGGGATGTGCTGGTTAACAGGAGGTGCTGTCTTGTCCTCCAGTCTCGGCTAGGTCTGCTAAGGAAAGGAAGCATGTGACTATGTAGTGTGTCCGACTGCTTCTCCATCCCCTCAGCAGCTTTGGAACTTAATGTCCAATTTTGACAGAGGGGTAAATTTCTCAAACATACCAAGTTCCTATATCTGTAATGAAAAGATGTGGCAAAGTTGGAGAAGAGATAACAAAGCAGTGCTACAACTGAGAGAAAATTGGTAATTATTCAGCCCTCATCCGTTCCAGGATAGAACAATGAGCTTGCCGCTTTCCATGTGCGCAGCACACGCTGGACCGTGGCGAGCCAAACGGGAGATATGGGAGAGGAAAACAGATGGGAGAGGGGAGGGGAGAAAGTATTGAATTTGTAGGAGCTGGGTAAGAATAACACAGGGAAGTAGTGTTGGAGGCAACAGGATCCTAGTGCATAGGACACTATTTCACATAAGTTTTGCTTACAGAACAACTGTCCGGGTCACAGAGACTTGAGCGTTTTCTTAGCTGCTGTGGCTACTGGTGGAGTGAGTCCCGATTACTCAGCAGTACATTCTCCGTGCTTTCTAGCTCAGAATTTGCGTATATCAGACTAACAGAGACATGCTACAAATGGTATCATTTCAGGAGTGTAAGAAGCTATTTATCATTTCTTTCCTCTTGATACAGACTGCTGCTGCTCCAAGGACCTAGGTCTAGCCCTATCTTCCTGTTTTTGAGTCAGTATTAATATTGCACAAGTCATTTACTTCAGTTTGAAGTTATGATTAAAATCAAATAAGGCAATGCTTTCTAGTACCATATTTAGCTTACAGGCTGTATTTGAGTTGTACTGAATACTATGTTAAAAAGCTATGATTTACACAATGATTTTGACCTACTGTAGCAGTGCCTGTCTATTTCAAAATCCTATTGTAAAAGCTTTGAAAGCTTGACATTAGTAGTAGGTGGTGACTGTACAGCAGGAACTGGTTTTAACACTCATCCTCTCAGCTCTCCTTTTTCTCTGCTCATCTCTTGGCTTCACTTACGGATTCCACACAGTGTGCTCACTCATCCACTTGTTATGTAGTGAGGGGGGCATTACTCAGCACACTTTTCTTTGCCGTTTACCTACTTCTGTGCAAGCCTTTATCTTTCTTTTTAACCTTATTTTTAAAAATGAGCAGTGAAGAGTGAACAGATAAGAGTTAATTTGTACAGTTGTAGAACAAATAAAGTCTTTCACAGCTTTTTCTTATGTGCTACCACGGAAGAATTTTCATTATCTGTGCAGCTCTCATCAGTGCTGACATTGAAGAATTCCTTTTCCTCTCTCTCCCTCTCTCTCATGATAGTCATTAGCACAGAGCTGGATGAGTTGATGATGGAAGCCCAGCTGCTACAGGTTTCTCTGCCTGAAATACAGGAGCTGTACCAGATCCTATTCACAAAGCAAAGCCCTGTTCTGCAAACAGAGCAGAGGTCATCAGTTGGCCCAGCAAATGAAAAGGCAAGTGTCTGGCAGTGGCGATGAGATTGGGGTCACTTTTGAGTAGAGGCTCTGCCTGAACCCGTAAGCTTAGGTTTGTGCATGTGTCTGTACTTCCATGCAAATCAATTTTCCTTGTTCAGAAGAGGATAAGAAGTTGATAATTTAAAGAATTTGTTATAAATTAGTGAGTATCACTTGTGATTGAATGCACTTCTGCAACTTGAATCTGCTTTTTGTCATCATCCTCTGTATTTAAATACATCTGTTCTGATTTGAACAATGAAGCCTGTCCTGCAAGTAAGAGGCTTTCCTAGAAAGCTGCCTCTGAAGCAACGGACTCAGAGACAGGAAATGGGACTCTTTACTCTATACATTTCTGTCATTTGAATGTGACCCTATACTTGGCTTTTAGTGTTAGGTATAAGTGCAAAATGCTTGACGGAGGATGCTGCTGCCTTTCTATCATAAGTGGGATGTGGAAGGAGAAGGCAAGCCAAAGAATAATAGAGTACAATAAGTGTTAGTTGTGTACTTACGATTTTGTACTTGTGTACTTATAATTACAATTTTGCCATAATATCTTTCCAATAGAATGAGTGCTGCCGAGGGAAAAAGGATGGAATTAGTTACATGGAGAGAAAACTAAAAAGGCGTTTTGAAAGAGAGAGCTTCTGTGATGAGAAGAGAGCAAGGGTAAAACAAATGAGAACACCAAAAAAGAAGAAACTGAAACTGAATCACTCAAAAGATCTCTGCAATAACAGACTGGAGAGAGAGCGGGAGCGTCTTTTTGAGATGCAGCGTTCCAGTGAAAGCCACTTGTTTCCTTCAGATATGTCATTCTCTGAGCAGGAGGACTCCGAGGATGAAGATGCCATCTGCCCTGCTGTAAACTGTCTCCAGCCTGAGGGAGATGAGGTTAGTAGAGGCAAAGCCATTGTGGTGTACTGAATGCTGGGATCTCGGGGACTCAACTGCACTGAAATTGCTTCACTGCAGAAGTACTGCTTACAAAGAGAGTGCGAGGCACTTGAGAGATCCAAGGTGGTTGTGCAGCAGAATGACCTACCTCAGCCCCCTCTGGCAGGCACAGAGACAGCGTCTGCTGTTGTTAGCACACCTTTAGGGACGAACCTTCCCACTTTCTCCCAGAGCAGCTTTTCAGCTGGGAATGAGGAAGGCAGGTGGACATCAAAAGATCTGCATGGAATTGGAGGAGGTGGGGTTGAGCAGTTGGCATATTCATTCATCTCTGCTCTCCAAACATGGGTGTAGTTAGACTTTGTGGATCCTGACCTTTGTATGGATAGGCACACTGTCTTGGAGCCTTGCACAGGTCATTCCGTACTGAAAAATGAAAAAGAAGGACATCTCCAGACAACTGAGAAGTGCTTCTTAGCACTTCAGTGCAACTGAGAACTTCATAGTGAAGTTGCCATCCATAATCTTGCTATAGGTGGGGAAGCAACAGGAGGAATGAGGGAAGTGTGCCCTTCTCTCAACTTTAGAGGACCTGGGTAGCAGGAGTCCAGAGGACAGTGAGCATAAGGTGAATATCCAGCATTAGTCAGTTGTAGAATGGGACAAGACCTGCTCATTTAAATAGATTAAAAGCCCCAGAATAACTAATAAAAGCTGCATTTATTTGTTTGGCCCTTCTCTGAACACCAGTGTGTCTGTTCTTAATAATTAGGTGGATTGGGTCCAGTGCGATGGCAGCTGCAACCAGTGGTTCCACCAGGTGTGTGTGGGCATCTCTCCGGAAATGGCAGAGAAAGAAGACTACATCTGCATCAGCTGCACTGGGAAGGACTCTCAATATCGGAAGTAAAGCCCCCCATAAAACATTCAGGACTTGAGTAAAGAAGGTTATCAGAGTTTCTCCGTAAAGCCACAGGGGCTGGCTTAAGAGCCAGACTGAAAATGGTGCTACTTCTATCCTCATGGGATCATTTTCCAGAACTCAGAATAATTTTTGACACTTTTGTATTTTCCCTTGATCTGTTTGTGGTTGTTGAGGTTTGAAATGCTGACTGTTTAGCAGGGGTTTCCACCAATTTGGAAGGCATTTGAAACATGCACCTTTTATTGTACAGCATTAAATTACCTCTCTGGGATTTACCGGCATATTTAATTCAGCTTGGTTTAGGTGCAAAAAAAACTGCACCATGAATTTTCCAATAAATCCTCTTTTGAGGAAATCCCTGTTTACTCTGTTAACTCTTTGGAGACTTTAGTTTTTTTCCACTTTGTTTTTTTGTAGACTAGGTTTATTTATCTGAGCAATAACTTCTATGTCTGGTTTCAGTGACTGGAATGACAATTCTGAACAGCGTGTTGCTTTTAGCATTGGTTGATGTACAGAAAGCAAATGTTAGATCCTAGTGTCACTGATGGCCCGGTGATGTAGAAGACAGAAAAAGCTCTGTAAAGTAATTGCCACAGCTGTATTTTGGCTTTCTCCTTTTTTGGGTAGCTTGTATCAAATGTTGCAGTTTATATTGTGGAATAAACCCCTGGTTATGTTATAAAATTAAATGTTGGTGTTTTTAGAGAGCTCAAAATGCAGTTTCATTTCCCTCTTGATTGCATTGATGGATTCTCATACTCAAGAGAAATCCCTCTTTAAAAAAAAAAAAAATCCCTAAAGGCAAAAGCCATGATATTTGCTTACCTTACTCATATTCAGGTTTGGGAGGAGAAAGCAGATCAAAATCTTACTCACACCAAAAGTACTTTTTAAAGTCTTCTTCAAAGCTTTTGCTAAATTGAAATTATTTACAGATTGGGTAATAAAGGGTCAAAACTAGGATTTGTGTTTTGGGGAAACTCACCTGGGAGGGGAAAGTGTGCGGCAGCTGCTTTTGTCAGCTTTTTCCAGTTGACCTCTAAAGGAAGGACTTTCCACCAGCTCGTTCAGCAGAGCACCTGCTAGTGGTCCACGGAGCGCTGCCTGGCCACATGCAGCTTCCTTTCAGCTGTTTTTGCTTGCATTCAGCTAAGAGAATGAGGAAATCTCTAGAGAGGTTATGATTCTATCAAAGACTGCACTTAGGGACCATAAGCAAGGAGGGAAGAAGTGGGGGTGCAGCTGATGGCAGTAAAATGAGAATGTCCTGAGGGGAAGGGAATAAAATAGCCAAATGGTTCATGTCTGGGTGCTCAGTGGTGCCCAGAGGAAGAGAACAGGCACAAGAAATGGACAAAAGCAGTGTGTCAGCAGAGGAGTTGGGAGCACAGGAAAAGAGCAGCAGCGGTTCTGTATCAGAGAGGGACTAGACCTTTGAGGAGAAGTGGTTATTTCTTTCTTTCAACATGGGCTACACTGTAAATACACAGAATATAATCACTTCTTTTAAAGTGGACTGGTGCCAATGATGTGGCCCTCCATTGCCTACCAAAGACATAACATCTAAAGCAGTAGAAGATGGGAGATTTTTGTATCGGAGAGAGCGTTCTCCTTATGATGTCCTGTCATCACCAAAAACGTGGCAGTTCTGGTGTTCCCTCAGTTCCTGATCAAAAGGGAAATTGCTAGTAATTTTATCTCTGCCAATTTTGGATCTTTTCCATGAGCCGGAAGCATGCAGATCAATTGACTTTCTGGGTATACTGCAAAGCCTTCGTGCAGTATATGGCTGATAGTGACAAGTGGTGGAACTCTGTGTGGAATAAGAACTGTGTAAGAATTAGATTTTTCAGGGTTTTTGAGTGCTTCTTAGGCTTTTTAAGTCTCATGTTGATTTTTAACTAACTGTAGAGAGCATCTTCAGCCAAGCATAGATGATTTGTCTGAAATGAATGGTGGGGGGGAGGGGGGAAGACAACATGACCACAGTTACAACGTTAAATTAGTTAAATGTGCACATGCTTTCATATTAGAACTTCTCTGTATTATTTACTGTAAATACCAAAAGGATGTTATGTGATCTTGGTTGGATGGAGTCTTTGTGCAACACTAAGGTAACAGTCCAAGCTGTGGAAAAAAACTGATCGGTAATATCTGCCTTTCAAAGGGGGCAAATGAACAAAGTTAAAAAAGAGTTTGCACAGTGTTCTGATGTAGCTGAAAATTTTACAAAATTTTCTCTCACGGTATTCCTTTTATTTCTGTTGAAGAAATGCCTGTTTACCAAAAAGTGTTAGAGCAAATATGCTGCAGTTCATTTTAGGATTATGATTCACCATAGGACCAAGGGAAAGCTGTGAGGTCTTTTGGGCTTTTGAGGCAAAGGAAACCTTCGCGATCCTGACTGCATAATTCTTCGTCAAGATTAACGTGTGGTAGAATTACAGTGTAATGTTTTGTAAGTTACTACATCTTTTCTTTAAAATTTTCAAGGAATGGAAAACTTAGTCCCTGGGTAACCTGTGCCAATATACAGGGTATATTCTTAAAGACTGGCATCTTACTTCCTGGTAGAATTCAGGCGTGGGATTCTTGCCTCCCCAAGAACTGGTGGCTGGAAGTTACTGTGGAAGTAGTAGCGCCTCCTGTGCCGCAAGGCCACTTCCCCATGTGGATGCTTAAAACTTGATTAGGTCATTTTTTGACTGTGTTGAACTAAACGAGTAAGAGATTGGCTTTTTCCTTCGAGGTGGGCTCTTCTTTTGAGTGTCCTTTGCGTGTCCCTCCTCAGCGGAGATGCCAGTCATGGCAGAGCGCTTGCAGCAGCAGGGCCTCTTCGGGGCTATCAGCTGTCCCTGTCACCCCTCCTCTTGCCTGTTCTAAAATTCCTGAGGATAAACCAAAACAAAAAAAGAAAGGATCTCCCCACGCTGCTCTGCTCCCTTTGCTTTTTAGAATGAAGCAACTAGATACATGAATCTCCTTGGCTCCCTCAGGTCCTAATATTTTAATAAGAATAGTGATTCACCATAGCCTAGGTTATGGCTTGTAGAGGAGTTTAACCATAAAATAGATGGGACAAAAATGCGAATTTGAGGCAGAAAAATAGGACTTTATTTAAAGGCTTCCTGTTCCATTCTTCAGAAGCTGGGGTCGTATCCATCGTGCTGCTCCATGTGCATTTTTTCATGCCACATGAAGAGTACCAGAACAGGCTAACACATGCCCTGTTGTATCACACTGTTTTGGTCACAAGGTCCTTCAAACACGATGCCAGTAAGATACTTGACCTCAAGGAGAGGCGAGCGTTTGGCTCCACGTATTTAAAATGAAGACCATGGCACTGAAGGCATTGGTGCCCAGTTCCAGGACCTGGTTGCAAGGTTCCTAAATTGTTTGAATTGGACTTTCTAGCACTGAAAGAAGAACCATCTGTGGGGCAGGTCTTTGGCCCTGGCCCTCTAGGCTAAAGTACCAGAGCTGGCTTTGCTATCTTCAGAAGACAGGCAGTTTTGAAGGAAGCTTGGAATCAATGGTAACCAAACTGGTCACTGCATACCTAGATTCATGGCAGCGGCTGGGTATAGGCATGGATCTGCAGCCTTAGATCTTTGCAGAATGCTGCTTCTGAAGGTGACAAAACAGATTTTAGGACAGTTGTCATACGTCAATGCTTCCTAAATGAAGGTGTCAGAAGTGGAGCTGGTTTCCTTCAAACTCTTCCCTTCTACTACCTAACGCACCATCTGGTTTCTCCACGCAGATAATTGCATACACATTATTTATTTTCCACAGGCAGCAAACATTGTTGGAATTTAGCTATTGGCGTGACCAGTGGTTAGCCTTACTGGCCACTAGCAAAGATGGAAATCTGTGGAACAAAGCATATTGGGGAAAAGAGCATGCCAAGGATTTGGTGCAAATTCCTTCCTGTCTTAAAATAAACAACAAAATAATCCAGTCCTTCCCTTTCCCAGCATCTTCTGGGTGATGGTCCATGCTGAAAATGCTTCTTTGGGGTGGGGAAGACAGGAAAGGTACAAATATTTAGTGGTTAAAATGAGTTCCAGATACAGAAAAGGACATAATTTCTTATAAACAATACATGAATCCCCGATATTTCATATTCCAGTTGAAACTAGGGGATATAAATGGAATTCATTCAGGGAGGGGAATGTTCCCTTTACAGCTGTGGAGTCATGTGTTTGCACGTTAAATGTCACTAAGGAAAAAACAACCGAAATATCTCCTTTGTGCATCGCAGTGATTTGTTACTCCATCCCAAGGATGGGGATAAGCGGGTCTAATACTGATTAAATGCATATATATTCATATTAACAATGAAATAAATGCAGTTAATTTTGCAGAATGACACAAAAACTGTTTTCTATTACAGCTGACTGTGATGCATGGAGCATTGTTCAAATATTAGCGTATTTCAGGGAAAAGGGAGTTACAGTGAGGGACTTCAGCTGTAGGCCAGTTTCCTGGCAGGGCAGACAAAAGATCAGCGAAGAACAAGAGCAACAACAAATGTTGCAGTTGCTGTTTCTGCCAGCAGGAGAGATGTGTATGTAGGACAGGAACACACTTTTCACATGTTTCAGGCAGGGAATGTCTCCAGAACATACAGGGAGGAAGCAGCTACCTGGAAGCAAAATTAAGAAGTCGAGATGACTCTTCAGTCCTGTGATCTGGAAATAAATATAATTTTCCAAGAGAAGGGTTGAGGTACAGCCCTGAAAAATAGCTTTATCCTATGTTCAGGAGAAATGAAAAAGCCACGTTTAGAGAGTTGTCCTCTAGGATGTAAATACATCAGTCTTTGGAGGCGACAGTCCCACACCAAGAAGAGAATAAAAACTAGATGTAGAACAGGAGATAAAGCAGTCACACTAGGTTAATAATCCCCGAGGTTGAACATATAGCTTCTATGTGAGACAAACAAAAATGGAACATGAGCATCAGTGGGTTCCAGTAAAAAGAACTTGGGTAGAACAAGCAGATGTTTTATGAAGAAAACAAAGGAGTACGAGATACGCTTCTGGTTCCAAAATTCAAAGTGAAGCGAGGAATGTTTGCTTAAATATGGTTGGAAAGAAACATTGACATACCCCCAAATAAAAAAAAAAAAAGTGCAGCGTCATCTGTATATGAAAGCACCTGACGTATCTCAAATTTTCCAAGTTCTGAAATGTTTGTCAAACCTACTACTTGCAGTAATGTTTTTAAAGGTCCTTGAGTTTTGAATTGCAATACCGGGTCAGATTTTTAACAGCGTGGGGGCTCAGCTCCTGAATCTATGAGAACTAGGCATCTAAAAACTTACAAACATCTATTTTGTAAAATGCAGTAAAAATGGTAGCTCCCTGTCTACAGCATATGCAGTTAGCTTGATGAGCTCTCCATCACACAGGGTTTATTAAGGATAAAACAGTGTTGTAGAATGTTTGTAGAGCGCGTAGACTGCTTCAGTATCTGTTGGGCATTTGGGGTTTCATGTTCTTGTTGCTGCTTGAAGTTAAATCTTAATCCAGCTGGGGACTGGCCAGGCGTAGATTTCCTTGGCGTACTGGAGACGCTGGAGCGTGCTCCCCCCCCACCAAACATGCCAGTGTGCCTATGTATCATGTAATGTCTCATCCTCCTCATTCAGGCTGATGCTGTCTCTGCCCCTTGTGTAAGCCCTTACTTCTTTTGGAGGATTTTTGCTCGTTACACCAGTCCCATATCAGCTGTGCATCTTTCCATGGGGGTCCTCTGTAGTGCAGGTCCACAGGGGAGCTCAAAGGCTTCCCCTGTGCTAACCATGAACTGAAACACAGGAAGAAATGAGTTCGTTGTAAAATATCTTTTCACGCTAAGACTATAATCTTTTGCAGAGAATGAACTTAATATCCCTAAAGCACGTCTAAAGAAAAGATAAGTGGAAGAACACTTTTAGCTTTGAAGCAAAATAATATGGCACTTGAAATGTGAGCTCTACATTTGCTAGCTTTGGAGGAAGTATGTACGCAGATACTGTGCGTGAAGAGATCATGCAACGTACCAAACAGGTGGGACTTCAAAACTGAAAAAGCCTGGAAGATTCAAACAAATGTTATTTGTACAAATGGAAGGACAAGCTGGAGCATTCAGAGCGGTTGTACAGTGGCTTGGACAAAAAGAAGGATCACAGGCTAGATAAACCATGCTTTGGGGATACCCTTCCTATCCCCAAACTGCATCCTCATTTTCTGCAAAATCATAGAAATACAGAGGAAACACAGCTCTCGTTAGTAAGAAGGGACAAAAATGATCATAAGTACTTTATACAGACACATGGACGGTCACTTGTTACAGTGTTAGCCAGACAGCAACAAGGGTACTAGAGGGAAGTCTGGTCAAACAGTCCTAGAACTGTATCATTGATTTTAGTGCAGTGGGAATTTACCTACGGAGTCCACTAAACCAGAATATTAGGACAGGCCCAAGATGATGAGATTACCCTGGGCTTGTGAAAGCTACACCCTGCATAAACATGTATTTGGTCCTCCAGTAGAAGCAGTATTTTGGATTTGGAAGCACAAGAGAGAAAAGTCATCCCTCATCTCCTCACCGTCTCTAGCCCTAGCAAGGAATGTGGAAGCTCAGGGAGGCAAAGGGTGTACGGGCACATCATGGTCGTGCCTATAATTAAGAAGAGACAGGGTCTCTTCTCTGCTGGTGAATGCGTTTGTTGTGGCGTGGTTTGTAGCCATATTGCAGAAGTCTGCTCAAAAATACCAACCCAGAATAGTCTTGCCTGTATCGCTTATTGGGAATGATCTCTGCTGTCCCCAACTCGCTGGCTATTGCCTGGGAGAGCGCTTTTTGGCATGGGACTGAAACAGTGCTGGGCATTGCCTGAGCCTGTGCTCTGGCCCAGTTTAGTTTAGGCGGAAAGATGCCAACCCAGTTTTCCTAACTCTTTTAGAAAGTAAAAGCTAATTTCATGGCGCTGGGATGTTTTTAACTTGGTGTTGTGGTGGAATCATTTTACCTAACTGCAGCTGTCTGGAAAACATCTAGTCTAAGGAGAGAGGAGCGTCTGGAGAGTGAGTCAAGCAATCTCCACTGAACGCCTGTTTCGAATGTCAAGAGTCACCTTCTGGAGCAGCTACCGCGCTCTGAGCAACTACCTGGGCCTGGCGCGGTTGCAGTTAAGGCCCAGCCACTGTAAGCGAGAGCTGTGGACGATGGAAGCAGGTCCTAAACACCACTGCCCACACACAGAGGACAGGACAGCCAGGCTTGTGTTTCTGTAGTATTTTGAGTTGTCGTTTCTACTTGTAGAAAACTTTTTCTAGAATTCCAGAATTGATATGCATGCTTTATATCAGAATTTGCTTGCAGCTTTCTTGACAAGAACATTTCAAAATGTACTGCTGGGGAAAATTTCACTGGACACATTTATCCCAGTGGAAGGGACTTCAGTGCAGAGGAGGCCCGCAAAGCTGACTCGGAATACAGCAAAACACACAACAAGAGTAATGGGTGGATGGCGAAAGTATGTCTCTACGGGAGCATGGACTTGGGCACAAATAGCAAGGTACGCTTATTTATTAAATAGCACTAGGAAAAGACTAATAACCAAATATTCTTAATGGTTGCGTGTTTATTGCCAGGTGATCATTCGATAACCCTCATGTAGCTTTACAGCAGAAAGAAAACCCTGACAGAGTGACCAGGATAATGACACATTTTCTCTCAAAACAGAAATTCCCTCATGCTGGAGGGAGTCTAAGTTGTAAGAGACCTATAGGGAAGGAGTTACAAGTGCCTATCACAGCCAGACCAAACACGGGGTTAGCATGACTTCTTTATAGCACTTACTAGACTCACCCACTGTATTGGGCTATTTTTATATATGGATCACTGTCAACAGTTTCACTGTGGTTTTGCTGAAGAGGAATAAAGACCAAACAGTCATCCCCAGGAGTACCGTGCTCCAAGAAGAGTGGGACCTGCTAGTACCGTGCCAAAATGCACCTCTATCACCACATAATGTCCCTCAAGTGAGAAATCTGTTTTTGTATGTGTTCATATTGCTTTTTTGGTACTTGTAATGATTTGTAAAATTGCTGACACTTCCTAAATAAACAGTTGTAAAAAAGGAGAGATGGAAATAGAGCACACTTTCCTCTTCCGTGCACACGCGGCTCTCGCTTTACCCACTGTTCATGACCATCGGTAACTGCCTTGCTCCTGCCTCGTAAGGCATGAGGGTTGCCCATTTTCACAGAATCACAGAACGGCCAAGGTTGGAAGGGACCTCTGGAGATCAGCTAGTCCAACCCCCCTGCTCAAGCAGGGTCCTCTAGAGCACATTGCCCAGGATCACATCCAGGCGGGTTTTGAATATCTCCAGCGAAGGAGACTCCACTACCTCTCTGGGCAACCTGTGCCAGTGCTCTGTCACCCTCACAGTCAAGAAGTTTTTCCCCGTGTTCAGATGGAACTTCCTGTGGTTCAGTTTCTGCCCATTGCCTCTTGTCCTGTTGCTGGGCACCACGGAGAAGAGTCTGGCCCCATCCTCTTGACACCCTCCCTTCAGATACTTGTACACATTGATGAGCTCGCCTCTCAGTCTTCTCTTCTCCAGGCTCGACAGGCCCAGCTCTCTCAGCCTTTCTTCAGAGGAGAGATGCCCCAGTCCCCTCATCATCTTGGTAGCCCTCTGCTGGACTCTCTCCAGGAGCTCCCTGTCTCTCTTGGACTGGGGAGCCCAGAAGTGGACACAGTACTCCAGGTGAGGCCTCCCCAGGGCTGAGGAGAAGGGGAGGATCACCTCCCTCCACCTGCTAGCAACACTCTGCCTAATGTACCCACCCCAGGATCCCATTGGCCTTCTTGGCCACAAGGGCACACTGCTGGCTCATGTTTAACTTGTTGTCCACCAGCACTCCCAGGTCCTTCTCTGCAGAGCTGCTTTCCAGGAGGTCAATCCCCAGCCTGTCCTGGTGCATGGGGTTATTCCTGCCTAGGTGCAGGACCCTGCACTTGCCTTTGTTGAACTTCAGGAGGTTCATCTCCGCCCAGCTCTCCAGCCTGTCCAGGTCCCTCTGAATGGCAGCACAGCCCTCTGGTGTGTTAGCCAAAGCATGTCAGTCACATGCTTTAGCATGATAAGGCAGTGTATAGTCCTTCCCCTGTATCTCCCCCGACTTCCAGGCAAAAATTGTCCATGTTTCCTCTGTGGTCTTGTAGTGGGTGAGTAGTGTTGAGCAGAAACCACCCCCTCCTCTCTGCAGGTGGTCTCAGGTTCTCCCCAAACACCTGAGGAACAGTCACTCCATCAGCCTGGGACTGACTGCCCTGGCAGCGCTAACGTCCAGTGGGGATGGCACAACCTCCTCAGAGCTGACGGGCTTGATGGCCCTGCAATCACCTGGCCATGTCCGACGTAGGATTGCTCAGGGACTGAAATGTGCCATGCCTACAGCAGTGCGGAGCACCTGGGTCCTCAGAAGTGCTGCATGTCTGGTCACAGGGTCATTCTGGGATATTGGCCATATCCCTGGACAGTGGAAGGCAGCAGCCCTGTCTCATTTGCTGGAGGTGAAATGTGATGAGATCTCAGTTGTGCCTCTTTCCTACCTGTCCGTATTGCCTGTGTAGACAAACCAGATGTTTACTTGCTTCCCATATCCTTTGTCACCAGGGCCCCCCGCCCCATTCAGCAGTGGGCCCACGTTTTCCCTAGTCTTCCTTTTGCTATGGATGTATTGGAAGAAGGCCTTCTTGTTGTCCTTGACATCCCTTGCCAGATTTAATTCCAACTGGGCCTTAGCCTTCCTTGCCGCATCCCTGCACGCTCTGACAACGTCCCTGTATTCCTCCCAAGTGGCCTGTCCCCTTTTCCACATTCTGTGGACTTCCTTCTTCTGTTGGAGTTTGGCCAGGAGTTCCTTGCTCATCCATGCAGGTCTCCTGCCCGCTTTGCTCGACTTCTTCCTCAGAGGGATGCACTGCTCTTGAGCCTGGAGGAAGTGATGCTGGAATATTAACCAGCTCTCCTGGACCTCCCTTCCTTCTGGGGCCCTACCCCATGAGAGTTCTCCAAGTAGGTCCCTGAAGAGGCCAAAGTTAGCTCTCCTCAAGTCCAGCTTTGCCGTCCTACTTGTTGCCCTGCTCCCTCCTCGTAGGATCCTCAACTCCACCATCTCATGGTCACTGCAGCCAAGTAACCTGCCGCCCTGCACCCTGCTGCAGCGCCCAGACCAAGCGCTGGGCCTGCTCCCAGGCCAGCCAGGCGCTTTGGCAGCACTGGCGGCATCTTTTTAAAAGCAGCCGCAGATGTGAATTTACAGCGTTTATAAGCCAAATTGAAGTATTTGCGCGTAGGACGCTACCTCTATGCCCCTTAGCAGATGGCCCCGGCTTTTCATGGCGAGCTTTCTCCTCCTTGTGCTTGAGCTAAACCATCTCTTAGGGCTGCTTAAGAGCTCTGTAAAAATCACAAGCCTCCCGTTGGGCCAAGCGCAGCGCTGGCACCGGTGAGGCCGGCGGGGCGCCGAGCGCT